TCAATTGACAGGGCTGACGTAGGTTTTAGTGCCCTTCAGTTTTAAAAAGTAATGCAAGAATTTTAGCTTTGTTTTTCAACAGAATGGAACGTAAACAAATTAAATATGCAAATCTGGAACAATAGCTGAATTGTCAACAGATTTACATTTAGTGAATAACCCATTGGAGGTTTTCTGCTATTGTAACCAAATTCAACAATGGATAAACCTCAGTGTAAACTCAAGCTCCCTTCTTTCCTCCTAATGTCCAAATGTTCTATTAACACCCACATCTTCAGTGTTCAAAAGTTGTTTCTTTAGCCCCCTACCCTCTTTACCAAGCCCAGTTTTAAAAACTACAAAATCCTCCTATAATCAGTCTAACGGGCTAAGAATTTTTTTTTCTCTCTTAAGATCAAAGGTTCCAAAGGTTGGTAGATCCCAGCTGTTGTAGAAATACAGTTTTCAGGTTTAACAAGCCTTATGGGAGTGTAAGTTCCATAGCATCCTTCATCTATTTCTGGCTGCCCTTTATCCTGATCAGGAGTAGGCAACTTTCTGCACTCCCGACGGTTTGGACTCCACCTCCCATGATGCTTTGCCAGCATTATGGTTGTACAAGCATTGTGGGAGATGTAGTCCACAACATCTGGAGTGTCGAAGGTTGCCTACCCCGATCTAGATAATAGGGTTGTAGGTTGGATTCGTATGCTCACTGTATTTTCGTGCTACCATCTATCCTTTTATAAATGGTAACAATGTGGAATGTGTTACAGTTACATAAATATATAATAATAATAATAATTATAACCAACAATACTAAAAATAATGCTAATTATTTTAACCTATTTGTTACAACAAAACAATTCTGTCAGTAGATTATTTACATAGAATGTCTGCTGAATTGAGTGGAGATTACATATGTGAATGTAATATGGATTGAATCAGTAAATAATATGAATACTGGTTAACAAAACTAATCATTTTAATCCGAGACATATACAGCTAAGAAATGTTGTTATATATTTTGTACAGCCCATTGGGTTATCGATCTTACATTGCTTTCTAGAGGAAAATGATATTCTGTACTATAAGTGAACAGATGTTGAATGGTCAGTGGGAGCTATAAGTGAGTTTGGCAAAGACTTTCATTATTTTAAGACCAAAGTCTATATCATGAGGATATTACTAGAAAAAAAAGGTGAACAAGACAGTACCAGTGTTGAATTTTATTTGTAAAAATTGTAAAGTTGAGTGGTATTTCATGGATTCCAAAAATGTGAACATTTAGAATTTTAGGAACAAGGGAAGCACAGTCTTGGAATAACCCCTGTGCAGTGGGCTGGTGGGGGGTTGCTGTTTACAATAAGAATATTTGTCTTTGTGTTACAAGGGAGAAGTAAGATGAACTGGGTATCTGACAAGCTCAGAGCTAGGCAGTGGGAGGATAGTCAGGAAGAGACAAACAAAGAAAGTTTGTGACAAAGGCAATGGAGGGAACTCTTCCTAATAATGTATGGCGTTTAATTACCTTGCAAATCTGCCTATTCTTTGGACTTAAATAATCATTAGAATTGCCGTTATTGTGATTATCATTATAATTGTTCTAGTTAATAATAATAATGCTGAGATGAACAATAATAGCGTTTAAGACGTAGCAACATTCTGATATCTTTGCAGATTTTCTAAATCATTTTTCGAGATGGAATTTGCACAGGATATAAATCCTCTCTCTGCTCAGACTGAATATAATTATTATATTCTCCTAGGATTAGATCTCTACAGATACAGTTTCTGTCCCTGTCCTGTCCTTTCATGCATTTATAGTTGCAAGGGCTTTAAACGATTGGTCTCTCTCATATGTTTCCCTTTATTACATCTCAATCAATGCCTTTCTCACAACCTGCTCAATAAATTGCGTGAAATAATGCTGCATCTTTTAACGTGATCCATTAAACACAAATGCATCATCCTTCATGTTATGTTTATCTATCTAAAACCACAGATGCTTAAAGGGACACTCCAGGCACCCAGACCACTTCTGCCCATTGGAGTGGTCTGGGTGCCAACTCCCACTACCCTTAACCCTGCAAGTGTTTTCAGAAACATTTAGACAGCCACTAGACGGCACTTCCGTGTTTATAGCACACGAAAAAGTGTTCTATAGCGTCGCCGAACGTCCTCACGCTGTGTGAGGACCTCCAGCGTTGCTGAAATCCCCATAGGAAAGCATTGAAAGCATTTTTCAATGCTTTCCTATGGGGAGGTCTAATGCGCGTGCGCGGCATTGCCGTGCATGCACATTAGGTCTCCCCCGCCGGCGGCCGTGCATGCTCCATAGGTCTCCCCGGCCAGGTGATGTCGGCGGGGGAGGAGCGTGGGCGGACCCTAAACTGGCGCTGGATACAACTTGGGATGGGGGGCGGGAGGGAGAGGGGACCTGCAGTGCCAGGAAAACGGTTTGTTTTCCTGGCACTGGAGAATCCCTTTAACTCCTTCTTGACCAACAACAAAAAAGGACTGTCATGATAACAAGCGATTTATCTAACAGTGGTCCTAAAGAGGTACAAAAATCCCTAAACTGTCAGGGATATTTACTTTCAAAAGGCTTATTTAAATTGCAATTTAGGCACAGATGGATAGTCATATAACAGCTAAGATGTTATGTGACCATCTGATTCTGACAAACATTACTGTACGCAATAAAGTCCCAAAACAAGAGAGCTCCGAGCCATATACAAAGCATCATTCTTATTAATGGCATAAGAGAGCAGTTTTAAGGAGGTAAAACACTTTTTAGTGCCATGGATCCAGATTTTACAAGTCATCTTTTTCCATTCTGGATTATAAAGTATTACAGGCAAACAGAGCATTTATTATTCATTAACTATGCTGAGAGGCATAGGAACAAGCAGGTCAAGAACACAAAAAAAGTCATTAGCTATCATTCATTTTAGCTTCAAAATATTATCAGTAGATGAATGACATGCAGATTAAGGTGTAGCATAATGCAAGTTTGCAGGCAAGGAGGTGAAAGATTATAAAAATGGTGTGGTGCAATAAGGAATGCAAATGTCTCATACAAACCCATACTATGAGCTATTATGTGGTTAGAAAGACCTAGATAGTTTAGCATCACAAGTAAGCAGCCTACAAAAGAAATATGGTATATAATGGAGAAATATGTGTCAACAAAATTGAGTTTCAGGGGAGGTCTGAACTAATGGTGGCAGCTGCAAATCTGTAGTCTCATACTTGCGATAAAACAGCACTAACATGGGCTTCTGGCAGAAGAAGAAAATCGCCAGGATAGCTATAGCAGCGGCTGTGAAGGACTGAGAAAAACCTACCTTCCCTGTACCCTCCCTTAGGACACCGCACACCAGGTGGGGATTACATCATCGGGTGTCTTTACAAAATATGCATAGACCAAAGAAGGTGACAGCGCCACTTTAAGGACGCCACACTTTGAGCACTGTGTCATTGTCCTCCTGTGTCTCTGATACAGCAGGGGAGGCCATTTTACCAGAAACATGCAGGTAAAAATCTAAACTGATAAGAGAGAAGAAAAATAAGCCCTGCTTTAGGACACAACTGGAACACCCCTTAAATTAGGGATGTGCATGCGCAAAAATTTAGGTTCGGTTCGGCACTTCCAAAATTCAGGACTTCTGCAATTTGGTTTGGGACTTCAGAATTCGAAACTTCGGCAATTCCCTAACCCTACCCCCAACACTACCCCTACCCCATAACCCTAGCCCTACCCCTAACCATAACCCTAACCCTACCCCTAACCTGGTCAGTGGGGAAGTCTGCCTGAAGTTGCAGCCTCCTTCAGCAGGAACTTGAAAGGCGAGGTTATTTTTTACATTTCTTATTAATTAAATTTATTTTTTATATTTTAAATGTATTTTTATTATTATTTATATAGTGTCAACAGTTTTCACAGCACTTCACAGTTATACAATGTGTAATTCACAGTAAGTAATTAACAGACAAAAATATGTCTACAGAAATCCCTGCTCAAATGAGCTTACACTCTAGGATCTGTATACTGTATTAAAAATATATATATATATTCTACTATCATATCTATTGTGTTCCTTTAATTTCAAACACAGAAATAACTGTAGTTAATGGCAACTTTGTACAGAAAATGATCTCTGTAACACTAAGGTTGATACCTTGACAACATAAGGATTAGTGCTGCCCATTGGGGTTATATTAGAAAACCTAGTGACGTGGACTAAATAATAAGCAGCGTACCAGTTATCTAAGTGTGTGTGGGAGGAGGGATTAACATATATGTATTGGTAATTAAACCACGCTAAGGTTTAATAAATTGTTTTGTTTGTATTTTACATGTATAACATTTTCACTTTATAGTCTGTTCTGTTTATCTTTACTGACATTCCCATGTAGACACACACAACAGAATAGTGATCTGGAAAAAAATAAAAAAATAATGAATGACATGGTATACATCAGTAGCTTATTTTTGTACGGCTGTGATAATATTTAGCTGAATATTAATGTAAACTCACTTGACTAGAATTGACAGTCATTTGAGCAACATGTTATTTTTTTTTAAAAGTAAAATGTTTAACATGGAGAAATCAGTCTGCAGATCACACGTTACTGTGATGACTTTTCAATCAAAACAAAGCAATGCAAATCTGTGTATAACATTTCTGAAAATAAATAAAAGGCTAAAATAATTTTTTTTAAAAAATTAAGCTGCAGCATATCTGTGATTGTATTGTTTTTTTTTCCTGCAGCTAAGAACAAAGTATCCTCTGCCAAAGGAACCTATGAACTTTGCTGAGATTGTGCATGCGAAATGCTGGACAGGAAAAAAAAATATTTCTCTTCAGGATCTCTGTAGTAAGATGTGGTTCAAATGAGACAAGTCAGAACTGCAGTCTTCATATTCAGTTGTGGCAGTGGTGTAGCAGGAGTCCTGGATTGGGGGAAGGGGTGGAGGGGACAAGGGGGGGGGGGGTTAAAGAGGCCACTGAAGGGTCAGAATAAACTAAGAGCTTCTCCAACATTAGCAACACACACACACACACACATATAGACATAACCAGACAGAAAGACCTCTCTGAGAACAGCCCAAATCTGCAGCCATCTGTGGTGCAGGAATCAGAGTTAGGGGTGGAACCCTGGTTTGGAGCTGGTTTATTGGTAAGCAGCCTACTGTGATCTCTTGATGGATTGAGTGGAGATGGATCGAATTACAGCACTTGCCTTGCCTCAGTTTGTTTTTCTCCTGGCTTGCCATACTGATAGGAGGCTTTTTACCAGTTTGGGATTATATGAGCAAAGAAGCAGGAGCAACAGCAACAGAGAGCAAAATTATAATACCAATAATACTAATACTAATATATCCAGCTATTTCCCTGATGAGGTAAGCGGCTGATTAAAATACAAGCTAGTTGGCAGTCAGTGTGTCTCTCTCTGTCTATTCAAGGTGCAGGCATGGCACAGCATGAGGGGCTGGGCGGGAGGGGGTCTGCATGCAAAGTGTCCACTCTGAGGGGGGCAAAGACTGGGCACTGATCGTACTGTGTGTCTGCGGAGGGAGAGGGCTAGGTAAAGTTCAGCCGTGTATTAGTGTCTAGGGGATTTAATTGTCTCTGTGTGAAGCTTTCTCTCTGTGTGAGGTGGTCTGGGGTGAAGTTGTAGTTGGGGCTGTGCTCTGTGTTTACTGAGCTGTGCTGGGGGGGTGGGAGTGTGTTTGGGGGGAGGTGGTGTAGGAGGGAGGGGAGGGGGTTAAGGCAGTCCGCTGTCTCAGTGCCATTTGATCAACCTAGAGAGCTTTGAAGATCAGAAAGCTTGCAGCTGGGCCTCAAGACACTGCTGGGGTCTCTAGGACGGTGGGATGAACAGACCCTTTAAACCGATTTGGATTTCCCCCCTCCCCTGTGCTGTCTGCTTGCAGCTGGATGAAATAAACATTGCTCTGGTGGACTAGATCTAGAAAAGGACCCATATACACTGCTGGCAAAGTTAGCCGATGGATACCAGGATTTGCAATATGTTTTGGGGGATGGAAAAGTAGCACCCCGAGAGGTTGGCATTACCACCCCAACAACCCTTTACCCCCCCGTATCGTCCCGACTAGTTACCATAGGTGAGTTATGTTGATTGTTATTTTTATCTAAATCTAATGGCAACTTCTGTCATTTTGTGGACTGCAAATCCCATCACGCTCGGCCAAACGCGCCGCTTTTCGTGGTGTGATGGGAGTTGCAGTCCGCCACCCCGAAGTGTGCCTGCCGCTCATCGTGTTAAGTGAGAGACTGGGGATCCGATGTCGCCGTACACTGGGTCACGGTGCAACCTGTTCCCTGCAGCTTCTACCGATGGAACCCTGGCGTTCTATTGACCCCTTCAGGGATAGGGGACTAGCACTCCTCTCTGTCATGACAGGTCTGGCCATTGGCCAAGCATGCCACAAATGGGTTAACGCTGTATTTTTAAATATTGCCAATTACTAGGGGTAACGCTTTCAGCACCACAGCGGTGGCAAGCATTGGACAGTTTGTATACAATCTGAAATGGTTCTGGTTATTCAAACCCTGTGCATGTAGGCTTTTATTGTGTGTATGCAATATATATATATATATTTAAATACCACCCAGAAGGGTGAGGAAGTCCTACATATATTTATTAATTTGTATGTTTTTTCTTCTGCCATTGTAGCTGATGTATTGAAATACATTGGCTGGTTTAATGTATGGTAACTTTGTATTCTCCACCTCCCTCCCTACATGGAAATGATTTACCGAGGGGGTAATGCTGGCAAAACATTAGTGGGTGCTTCCCTTCACTGCCAGTAAGAGCAATGCTCCGGGTTATAGAGAGAGCTAGATTTCATTCTGCCATAAATTATGCATGGAAACAAATAGGATAGTCAGAGCTGTGCTTTCTCTGTGCAGTGCTGCAATAAAAGCCCATGGCTTCCAGGCACTTTTATTTGTCGAAAAGCTTTGTTTTGTTCATGTATTAATAGAATGAACTTTTCTTGTTGTTTTGTGTGTGTGTCTTCCTATCAGTGCACATTATGACACGAATATGGTGGATTAGGGTATTGATAAGCAAGGTTTAACTATCTGATCCCAGAATGTAACAGAAAGGTCACTCTGCCTGTGTGTGGAATAAGGTTTTGCAATAGAGATACTGAATTGGAAATCTGTGTTTAGTGCAGTGCACCACCTACTGAAACCACACCTCACAGTTCCCAGGATTGTTTTATGTCAGTGACACTGTGTAGAATAGACCAGCCAGAATTATTGCATACGGGCAGATAGTCACTTACATTCTGCCTGCTTAACCTCTTAGCTACCACTTGCTTGATGACCTCCTTTGCTGATATAAATGGACTTAAAAGCATTAAAATTGCTCATGCAAGCTACAATGCTGTGGCTCCACTCTCATTGTGTATTAACCCTTCCAAAGTTTAGTATCCATAAATAATGCATACCTCTCAAGCTATCAGTAGGGTTAGAAGTACACAAAGCACATATGAATGAGATTGCATTAAAATGCAGCTCTCACTTGGAGTCATGTGTGTGGAATACATTATTTCTTATGGGATAGAAAAAGCACTTCGGTAATAATTTTATTAAACCAGGGTTGTTTTCTATTTAATGTATTCATATTTAGGATATCATTTGTGAATTCATTTGCTTTATTTTATCATAATATTATAATTGCTATTCTTCAGACTTTTGATATATGTGACATACCCAGCTTACATTAAGCTTAAAACCAAACAGTTATTGGATTATAGAGATTGGACGTTTATTGGGCTTTATTTGAGCCAGAGCAAATTACTGATGTGCTATAATGTAACTGTATACCTAATGAAAATTTGGATGCAATGTTCCATCACGGAATTCCACCTATAATCATTTTCCTTACTCAGAAAGGAAGCGTTTGAAAAGATGAATGTGCCATGTCATTCATTCCCAATTGTATAGTTCAAGGATCTAATTATATTGGCAGAAATAAATGAGGAACTTTTTGAAGGCGGTGTGAAATTTGCAATACTTTTTCGCCATCCTACATGACTTAAAATAAATTCTAGTTCTGGGCTTTTTTTTTTTTTTTTTTACTAGTGATGTAGTGTCTCTCTGTAGCATATAAACACACAACTACCCCATTTGACATATGACTGTATTTTCGGGATCAGAAACCAATTTCTTACTTGCTACCGTTTGAAACAATCTTGAATCTCATTGCATGTCCCTTTTCTGAATTGTAACCCTTTCAGTGCCAAAGAGCCCGGGAAATAATGTCAAATCAACATTTTACCACCCCAACCCACCCACCCCCACCTCCCCCAAATAATAATTTTGCAAGGGATATATATGTTCTGGTGTTCAGTGTGCAAATACAGCTAATTACACATTACATTAATGCAATCCTACTAAAATGACCTATTCAAACTGAATGCCCTTTTATGAATTTTAATTATCGCTATATAATATTGGACTCATGAGGTTATGACATGTTCAATTAATGCATTAACCTGCATAAACCATGATTTGTCAATCGAGAAAAGTGCTTAGAATTCAATGTGGGCACTGCGTAGAGGTCTGAAAACAAAAGATGACTATGTGTGCTTTATATTTCCCCTGAAGAAAAGAAATAAGTTAACACCTGGCACAAATCTTCCAAAGAGACTGAACAAAACAAACCGAGAGAAAGAGATCAAGTCAATTCTTGTTGAACATACCTGTTCCTCCCCTAAAGTAGTAAACTCAGAATACCTTCCCTGAGGTCAAAGGAGAACGATGGTTTAACCCTTCACGTTCCACAAGGCTATCATAGGCATGAAAACTGTACTACTTACTCACTGCAGAAGATAACATTAGGTTCAGTTCTAGTACTTGCAAATTGTGTGAAATTAAAATTGTCAGTACAATGCTATCTTTCTCACGTTCGTAAGGGAAGATGATCTGTTTTCCTACATTAGATAAGCCATTATGGTTACAGTTAAAAATCCTTATAAGCCATTAAATTAAGTTCTTACTTCCGCAGAGAATTGCTGCCTATTTCACATTCAGAAGAAAACGTGTTTAATTTTTCTTTTTTTTTTTTTTCTTGTCGTAGCGCAATGTTCACAGAACATCTTATATGTGAGCCTCCTGGTACCAATTTCATAATCAGCAGGTGGTGTGTCATGGTATATATCCAGTGTCACACTCTGCCAATGCAGGGCAGTCAATAATAAGCTGATTTAGTTTATTCAAACAGGAAAGCTAATAAACTGTACTGCTTCAAACAGGCTAATGTTTGAGTAGGAAAAGCCATCAAATCTCATAACATGAGGCGCCCCCATTTTCCCATCTTTCCTGTCTCGTTGGCCTTTTGTTAAGTAATCCATATTAGCATTTTAACATCCGTGCAGTGAACTTCTGCCTTTCTTTTTAAACTTGGGCACAGTGTGTAGACCATCCATCATTCTGTCCTTGGCCACAACAGGCTACTGGCTCCATAACCATTCGGCGCTATAGAGAAATTATCCGACTGTGAAACGGCACAGCTGGCTTTGGCATTTTTTTTTCTTTGGCACCACTGCCAACATTGTTAGGCCACAGCCACAAAAGTTAATAACATCATGATCAGGACATTTTTCTTTTGTTTTACAGTTTTCCGTAGCATCATCATATGCACACGAAACCCAACCCTAGAACGAGCCCTCTTAACAGAAATACACATTTGCAAGAAGAGAGACCCACATATGGAAATGTTCAGGTCTCCGAGATAATGCCAAGATAAATGAAATGTCAATTATGGGGTATTCATACGTTTTAACAACGTAATTAATAGAAAATGGACCTTTTGTCCGTCGAGCGTGTCTGTCCCACCCCATGGTAATTAGTATTCCAAACGAACCATTCAGATTGAAATTATTTGCATACATTTATATGCATTTATTTTCAATTGCTCTTGGAAGAGGGACAATGAACTATCTTTATTAAGCAACGTTAAAGAAATTCCATAGGATTAAATGACTACATTAAAGGTCTGCTCGTTTATACTATCCTCCTGTTCTAGGAATGTAAGTCTCATCACCCTCAACTTGCTGTACAAAAAAACATTGGGGCTCATTCACTAACCACAGAATTTTGAATTGGAAATTAAATTGCACAATTTATAATCGCTGATTTGGAAACATTCTGCCGTTCAGCTACAGTAACAGGTTAGCCATTTTAACCAACATTTTGCAATCAGGTTTTCGGTTTGCTTCAATTCCATGTTTTTGGTGAATTAAACCCATACAGAAATATTTGATAAGATTATTTACTGAACTCGGAATATTAGCAAATCAGAAATACAAAACTGTGCCTCAAATAGCCAAGCTGTGACTTTATCTCAGTTGACAAAGTTTCCAGATCAACTATTTTAACATAGATTTTAATTTGAAATTTTGAGTTTTGTGACTGTGATTTAAAAGGGAATATCACATTTTATGCCACAGCACCTCAATTGAAACACATGTTTTTTTGTAAATAACCATGTAAAATCTCTATTTTGTCAAAATAGCCAAAGTCCAAGCATGGCTGAGAATGCTTCCAGTTTGAATATTTTGGCCTAAAACTGGATATTCACTTAGAATTCCTGACATTTCACACTTTACAGGGCTAACTAAAAGTGAGAATTCAAAGTGAATCTTAGGCCAAAATAGTCAAACTGGAAAAACTCTCTAAGTCAGCTATGCATCCACTAAGGCTACTTTGGCCTTAAATTTTACCTTCACTTTGAATTCACTATGATCTTCTTTTTTTTTTACTTTGTATGAATAATGTTGTTAGTAATTAGCCATAGCATATTGAATTGATATAATAAAAATACCCATATTAGTTATAGAGTCCATTGATTTTCTCTATCTTTAAAAAAAAAAAATGGTTTATATATATATAAATGGTTTGGTAAATGCTAACAGATGGTATTATTTTATAGTCACCCTATATAATTCTTGTGGTTTTGGTTACATGGAAAAAGCCTCGTTAGAACGCGCACTTGAACTTTCATTATTGAACAAATCACACATTTCCTAGATTCCTTTGAACATTTCTGTTGTGCTAGGTATGGCTGAACAGGGTACTTAATTAACCAGTTTTTACATATCCCCTTTCAATATTGACTACAAATCTGCATTGCTAGACTTCATTTCACACAAGAATGAGGTACTAATTTTACAGTTGACCCCCTTTTTTTTTTTGCACTATTTGTGTCCCTTCCTCCCCCATCTCTCTAAACACTCTGCAGATGGTGCCTCAGGCAGGGGAAGTGACTTTCCCAATGTCACACCAAACTGAGCCTGGGATTAAAACAAGCTTCATTCATTGCAAACCTATTGTCCTACTGTCTAGACCACTCCCAGAGCAATGTGACTTGTGACAAGCGTTTTATCCTGCTCCCAAATTAATTTTGGGACATTTCAATATGCTCTTATGACTGAACCTTATAACATCATTGCAAATTCATTGTGACACTCTAGGTTGTTGGGATTTATTCCCCTTACTGGCATTTATAGAGTTAATTCATTCATCCATTGATTTTAACCCTTTTAGTGTCAGCTGTGTTTGCTGCAAAGGAATCTCAACATTTCAGTACAGATTTTTTTTGACATGTTTGTTATTCTAAAAGTTAGAGCATTACTTTTGCATTTTTTTAAAACCTTCCTTTCCATCTTCATATTGCGCTCCTGGTACTGCCTCACACAAGTAAAAGATTTGCCAAGCAGCTTAGCTGGTGCCAGGTCCAGTGGGATTAATGATAAATAAGTTGGTAAGCTCTGGGACCTCCCATTGACAACCTTAATTAGGCACTATAGGCTGGCTAGCATCTTTTTTTATTTCATTTTCAAATAATACAATGAAATCTGCAAAAAAAAATAAATCAATGTAAATAATAGAAAAAAACATACTTGTCTTGCAATTTTAAAGGGGATTCAATTAGTGTTAGCAATACACATCCCTATTCCTAACACTATAGAGTCCTTACCCTCCCCCCCGCCCCTGCTCACACACACCTTGCACCCTCTCCCTCCCAGCTCATAAAATGTTAAAAAAAAAAACGTTTAGTCCCTTATCCAATTCCAGCATCCAGTGTCTTTCGGCGCTAAGTTGGCACTCACCTCGGCCGACGTAATCCACCTCAGTGACTTATGTGCATGCCCGGCGAGGACATTCGGCCATTGCCATAGGAAAGCTTTGCTTCAATGTTCTCCTATGGGGATTTTACTGACGCTTGATGTCCTCATGCAGATCGTGAGGACGTCCAGAGTCTGTTAGGCGACCTAAAAGTCAGTTAGCAACCAGGACGTGCTTCTATTGGCTGTCTTAGTCATGTTATGTAATTATTGCAGTTTTTTCAAGAACTGCAATGATTTACATTCCAGGACTAAGTGGGACTGGGATACTGCACCCAGACCACTTTAATGAGCTGAAGTGGTCTGGATGACTATAGTGTCCCTTTTCAAATATTTTCTCAGGGATTTACAATAAAATCCTTATCTCCAGCCATCAATAAGTAAGACTATCTCCATGGACACTATAGTGGGATTGGTGCAAGGTACCTGCACTGGCCAGGACCACAGTTAATGAGCTTTCCCAGTCTGCTGACTTTGCATTCCCCTACTAATAGTTTTGTGGAGTTCCAATAAAATTCCTCTCCAGCCATTTTGGAAAAGTATTCTCTGAAATAATATGGGAATCCATGCTCACTCATTTGTTTGAATGGGAAAAGCACTATACATGAGTATATGCGATGCAATGTATGTGCAAGGTTTGCAATGTAATACCTCTGAGTTACAAAACTGGCCGGTGGAAAGGATTTTGAAGCGTTCTTCCAGTAAATTCAGTAAATGGTTTCCCAGTGCTGCTTTGCATTCCTGATACTATAGTAACCATTGTGGAGTTCCAACACTTCGGTCCCTTTTGGAAACAGATTCTCTGGGAGGAATTTATTGTTCTATGTTTTTTGTTTTGATGAACTAGTGGAAACTTATAAAATATAACTATAAACTATGTATTTAACTATAACGTTAATTGTATTTAACATTAAAATATTTAATACTTTATCTCCTCATCTTTACATTAAAGATGCACAGATTTATGAAGTATTTCTTTTAATCTATCATCTATAAATCATGGTAGGTTTATGCATTGTTCTCCTCTAAATCCCTTATTTAACATATAAGGGAGGTAGACTGTCCTGAGAAAAAAGACGGAGACATTGTTTTGCAAACATGCACGTATAAACATATGCCCTCCCTAAAATCCTTAAATTGCCTTAGCATTCCTTTTGTATTTTGTCTATTTAAAGGACTCTTTGCAGACATGATGGAGATCTGTTTTATATAGCATGCAGGTTTTATATAGAAATTTATATCTATAGCAATTTTATAGAAATTGAAACAAAATGCCATAATTATAATAGGTATAGTACCACAACTACTAAGATTGCCACTGATACAGCTGAGCAGTTAGTCACCCTTCTACAAGTGATGTTTGAACTCTCAGAGTTATTCGCTAAAGTGAGAATTATTGCAGATTCATAATGAATTTCAAAATGTAGGCCAAAATAGTAAAAATTCAGTTTGTTTCCATTTTATCCGTTTTGGCCCTTAAGCTTGAAATTCCTTGTAATTTTCACTTTAGTGAGTCCTCTTTAAGGCATGGTAGGTTTATGAAAAACTTATATTAAGAGTTATTTATCCCATTCTACTTATAGACTCTTCCCCACTCCCCCCTGATTTTCTTTGACTCCTATGTCAATGGCTGCATCTCCTCATAGCCTTTTCTAACAGCCATTCTGGAGGAAGCATGTGCCAAATGTGGCTTCTAGTCTGGGGATTTGGTGGTGATTTCATCAGCACAAGATATGAATTATGTATACACTTACAAATATCTTACTCACCTACCAGTTTTGGTTTCTTGATAACAGATGTCCTTTAATGGGTGTTAGAATCCTAAAAATGCAGTATCTAATTATATAGGTAATAAAGTCCATATAGAAGTACTTTTTTGGCCAAAATAACTGAGCTTGAGAATTAGCCATACCAAATAAATTTCCAAACACATACATATTATTATTTTATAATTAATGAAGCTTTGGCAAATTCTGTAGCGCTGTACATATGACATTAAACAATTAAGTGAAATGTCTCTTCTTAATGTTGTTGGTTATTACAATGAGTTCCATTTGCCTCGTACCTGAACAACTTCCTGAGGTTATAACTACTGTGTAACAATGGCTTACAAATAAGATGTGCCTTATTTATTCACAGGTGTAAAACCTGAGCTGTGTTAAATTATTATAATAAACTAATTTCGTTCAGTATCTCCCCACCCTTCCAACAAATGTCCACACACCGACCCGAACTATGTGCAGTTTGGTGGGCGTGTATATATACATACCTATAAAAATGTTAATCATGTTTGTTTATGCTAATTGCTACTAATTCAGTTTCTTTTTATGGAGGATGTGAAATGTTTGCACTATACACCTGTGAATTGAAGATGAAGGAACAAATAAATAATGTATATATTGTATTACTTTCCCTATTGGGACTCCACTATGTTTACACTGCCATTTGCTTTTTTACCAAAAAAAATGGGAAAACAACATCCACTACGATTGCAGAACTCCTCATTAGTAGCGTACACCAACTAGGCATGGCAGCCTGTTCTCAAACACCTGGGAACAGTGTTAAAACAGAGAGGACTTTACTAGATGTCATTGCATTATAGCAATTTTAGAGTTAATGCAATAGATTTAAAAAAAATTGTAACGTGGCATTGGATTTGTTCATTAAAGTGGTGAAAGTATAGTTGACAAGTGGCACTAGTAGATTTATTGTTATGTCAATTGTTTTTTAAAAATATGTTGGCATTTGTGATTTTAAGGTTGGATTTCAATGTTAATAAATCCGATTTAGAACCCGTTTTAAAGTGTCTTTTCCTTTACAAACGGTTTCTCTCTTATTTAGGAAAAGCAGCATTTGAATTAAAGCAGCTTCTTCATAAGCTTTTTATATTTGCTGTTGCTGGGAAGCCCCAAAACCAGCATCTATTGTTTGGGGTGGCATGAAAGCCTTTTTTTCAAAATCAGTACCAAGGAGAAATGTTGAATGTTTTATCGATTGTAGCTTCTAAGTAATGCCGTTTGCCCTTGAGGTGAGAGAACATCCAGATATAAACTGAACAAAAGTACAAGAGGGGTGGGAGCAGACAACCTCCTTATAAATAGAGATGAGAGGAGCATAGAATTGCCATACACGTTTCTTTTATGTATACATGTGAAATATGAGAGGTTTAGACACAGAACCACCAGGCAAGCAGACTGTGTAAGACAGGAGAGGTGTGCAGATAAACAGGGAAGAGCAGAGAGATTGAACCTGCAGTTGGAGAAATAAGGGGTGGGAGATGAATTAAGAAAAACACCTGGGGAGAGCTCAGCTGTACCCATGACTGCTGACCCCAAATACCAAAACCGTTACCCCCAATAACGACATGACACCTGATTGTTGGGTAAGGGCAACGGCCACAGCTTTATTAAACTTTTACACAGCCAGCATTTCCACCTGCCAGCTGTTGGGGTGACTACCCAACAGACAGATACTCCAAGTCTTTATCCAGAGTTCGTACAGCCTGCCTTCGGCCATCAGCCCTAGCAGGCTGCGACTCCCCAAATCCTTTCCGTGCATTACGTGTGCTGGCCAGGAACTCCGCCATAGCTGTGACAAAACAAGAACAGAAACAAACAACACCACAAGCCAAACCATCACATAGCATGGGAAATTTTTTGGGGAGGGCGGGCGGGAAACTGTTCCAGACTGCTCCTTCTGCACTGGTGAGTCCCACCCCCCTGCTCTCCCTCTTATATCCCACTATATAGGCAACATTGTATCTTTTATATTCCCACCCCTTACTGCAGGGCAGCAGTCATGCCTCCCCTTCCTTGCAGTCCAGGGGATATCTTGACTGCTGACCCCAAATACCAAAACCGTTACCCCCAATAACGACATGACACCTGATTGTTGGGTAAGGGCAACGGCCACAGCTTTATTAAACTTTTACACAGCCAGCATTTCCACCTGTCAGCTGTTGGGGTGACTACCCAACAGACAGATACTCCAAGTCTTTATCCAGAGTTCGTACAGCCTGCCTTCGGCCATCAGCCCTAGCAGGCTGCGACTCCCCAAATCCTTTCCGTGCATTACGTGCGCTGGCCAGGAACTCCGCCACCGCGATGCCGGCCCTCCCTCTCTTTACCCGGCATCGCACCCCCCGCAGCCAGCGCCTTTTCTATACCCGACTGCAGACCCGCATTAAAAATGTCCAATCCTATTTGGTTCAGGTGCACTCCGTCCGCCCTCATCAACTTCCAATTGTCCCCCTCCAGCTCCACATGCCGAACTGCCACACCACCAGGCCGCCGCACAAAGCGAGAGATCGTCATGTTGAGCTTGCGCCTGCTCCACTCCAGGCCCTTGGCATGCGGCAAAACCTGCCAGCCAGGACGGGGAACAATCTCCGACCAAATCAGAGTACAGTCTGAGAATAGTGCCAAGTCGTTCCAGACTGCTCCTTCTTCACTGGTGAGTCCCACCCCCCTGCTCTCCCTCTTATATCCCACTATATAGGCAACATTGTATCTTTTATATTCCCACCCCTTACTGCAGGGCAGCAGTCATGCCTCCCCTTCCTTGCAGTCCAGGGGATATCTCAACAGGAATACAACAGTGTATGTTTGTATACATGGCAGACAGACGGACAAAACTTACAGGTAGATTATAGGACAGTGGATGGCTAAACCAATGGCATTTTTATTAATATTATTTATCTATAAAGCACCAACACATTTCACAGCTCTGTACATGTGTATAGTTGGCACATGTAAAAAGACAAAGGTATAATACATATGAGACCACACCAAATACAGGAGGAGTTATGGGCCATATTCCAGTAGGAACTTAGAATCCATAAGGAGTAAAGGAGTTTAAGCATGCGTGGGATAGGCATAAGGCTATCCTAACTATAAGATAAGACTAGGGACTAATGAAAGTATTTAGAAAATTGGGCAGACTAGATGGGCCGAATGGTTCTTATCTGCCGTCACATTCTATGTTTCTAAGGATAGATGGCGACTTGCAGAATAGGCTATTGGAAGATATTGGGATAATGAGGAAAAAAAAACTAGTATCGTGAAAAAGGGGGTCACAAAACTATCAAGTATTGCAAAAATAAAAATTTCTAGAGTGACAGATATACTTATCCTTTCAGACTTATTAACAAAAATCTGGTATAACTGAGATGTGCTTTCCCCTCTATATTCTTTAAATAGAAAGCTTTGGCATGACAGGTCTGTTTTTACTGATTGCACAACATTCCTGTGCTCAGTGCTTCAAAGATAATTGGTTTCAGTGTAAAGATATATCTAGGTGTTTTTAGGTAAGTGTTGCTTTGTCTCCTACAAGATAATATCACTGAAAAAATAGTTTGTTTTGTATTTAGTTTGCAGATACAGAAATCCATTTCACGGAATGACCTAGCATGAAGACATATTACAACATGTGATAAGAACACTGATGGATAAAGATAATGGTCTAGAAATAGGGTTACATTGTCCGCTACGTTTCCCTGCACACAGTTTGCGTCTTAATGCTGATGCACAGTAGAATTCATATGGCATAGGAGGAAAGTCAAATGACTAATCAAATCAGTTTTTTTTGAGATTCCCCCATGAGTAACGAGCTGATTTCAACCCAGTGCTACATTCTCCCATCATGTGCAAGCGATAGACTCATGACTAAACACATACAGATTTATTCACTAAAATCTGAATTGCCCCTCAAAACAAATTCAAAGTGAATTTCACATTTTGGGCTAAAATACACAACCCAAAAGTAAAGCTAAACTGAAGATTTTTTTCATTTCAAATATTTAGAATTTCTAACAACTTTTCATCACATCCAATGAATGCTAAATAAGACTATTTTTAATAATTTATTTGCCACAATCACAAGTCTTTGGATATGAGTATATATACAAGTCAAATTATCTTCTGTCGCCAAAATGTCTAAATACAATTTGCCATTTCTGGTTTGCTAAGTTAACGAAAATAACCAGTTCTGTTTATTTCAAATGATAATGCTAATTCTGAAAACTCAAAATAACTCCTAAAATTGAGAGCTATACAAACCAAACTGTCCTGCGGTGGTTTAAAGGGAAATTCAGCCATTATATGGAAATTTAGCATGACTGGAACAAAGTATGCATTTGATTTTGCAGTGGCAATTAACCCATTCGTTGCTAAAGAAACAAGAGAGAAAAATAGAATGTGACGTCAGATAAGAACCATTTGGCGCATCTAGTTTGCCCAATTTTCATTAGTCCCTGGCCTTATCTTATAATTAAGATACCAAAATAGATCAAACCCATCAAATCAGCCAAAGTTTTGCTGCATTCCTATGAACACATTGAAATATATGGTTTGCTTTGTATAAAAATGCACATATATTGGCTCCTACTGATGTATGGTAACCGCACTGGTCTAAATCACAAGTTGGCATTATGGGTACCAGGCAAGTACGACTAATTGTGATGTTTCAAGATATTAAAATCTGATGTCAGTATTACTCTTTAGTTAGGGATGACATCACAGTAAACAGCCCTTAAACAAACATGACACTTTTATTTTTGGAAAGTAATGTGTAAATGTGTTTTTCTTGACAGTATGCGTGCATAGCACATTATTTGATGACAATGTGACAATATGTGTGTTAATCTGTTTTAACTAAAATGAGTTAAAGCATAATGCTGTTAAAGGCCAAAATGCAGCGTTAATATCTGTTTTCATTTACATCGATGATAATATTTGTGTATAAGGGTTGGGATGTAGATTCAAAACTCACTTTGATAGGCACCTATTCTTATTATTAGGAGTGAAGGGGTTAAATCATGGATGTGGATAAAGTATCAGTTCTTCCCTGGGACTTCTATCTTACAGTGTTTTGGGAGGAATATATAATCTCCCCACTGCTAGAATCCACTGTCTTTTTTTGCAAAAAACAAACAAACAAACAAACAAAAAAAACGAACCGCACTCCAATCTCGTGAAGATCCGGGTGCTAAACTGGACCAAGGGCCAGCACCAACGCCAGGGAGTAGATATCAGTGGAAGAAAGAGGTTCCAGGCACTCAAAGTATCTTCAAATGTATTTATTGGGACAAGTGAGACACCACAACGTTTTGACAAAGACAAGCTTGACAAAGACCCTTTCAGGGGTCGAAACGTTGCTGTATCTCACTTGTCCCAATAAATACATTTAAAGATACTTGGAGTGCCTGGATCCTCTTTCTACCACGCTTTACCTTCTATCACAATATTTATATATGCAAACTCATCTCTAAATATTCAGATGTAAGTCGTTAAAGGGAATGTAGAAGTGACGCTAGTGTAGAAACGGTTAGTTTAGCATTAGGTACGATTTGGTATACAGCTATGTAATTCCTCATTGAGGATAAGTGTGCTTTGTTTCTTATTGTTACAGTAACTTTACAGTATGTCCTTAACCCAAGTGATAGTTGAATAGTTTATCTTTTCCTGGTGGCGGTACCTGTGGAGTCCTTGTCTTGTAGATGACTTCCTTAGTTAATTGGTCATCATGTGAGATTAGACCCAGGTCGTCTATTGTTTAACACAATGCAGTAAGATAAGGTCTCTTTTTGTTTATCTATCAGATAAGATTAGGTTTTCATAAAGGAATACAATAAAATAAATAATGGATGAGGGGGAAATAAAATCACAGCAGTTGAAACTTGTTTTAAAAAAGGAAATATATTCAATAGTGTTACAGTAGCAGTAGACGGAAGAAACAGTGGTGGTGGTTTTTTGAGCTTCAAAAATAAAAATTGATTCAATAAGTCGTGCAAAGTGACAAAACGCAGTGAAATAAAGACCACAAAGAAAAACTGTTCATTCATACTTCCTCCAATGGTTTTTTAAAATTCGAAAATTAGGACAGTCAACTTCCTACTGCAACTTCTCTTTCAGTAAATCTGTGATTAAATGCATAATCCTATTTCTGTATAAATACAATACTATATGATTTGTCTTAGATCAATCTTTGAATTATTATTATTATTAAGTGTTAGATTCCAACCGATGCCATGGCAGCATTTATTGTTGTATTCCTGGAATCAAGAAACCAAATTATTATTTTTTTTTTCTCGGTCATAATGAACAATTTGTTCATTGTTCGGTTTGATCTGCTGTCCTAGCTTATTCCTCTGTCAAACATTAGTTGCTTTTGATATAACTAAGTGTATCTTTTTTTATGATGTTTTACTCTGTCAATTCCCAAGATGTTTATACTTGAAACAGGGAGTTTTGGTGATTTGACAACCAATTAGGCTGAAATAACTGAGCCGCAACATTGTTTTGAAAGTGGATATTCTACAAATTGGCTATTTTGGCGTACATTTGTCATTTCAGCTTTTATCTTTGCCCAACCCAATGTTTAACGAATAAAGCCCTAAATAAAGTGTCAGAAAGTATTGTATCTATTCTGAGAGTATACAGGGAGCCTTCCCAAGCATCCTTTTCATTCTGTTTCCCATACCTTTTAAAAGGACACTATAGCACTATAGTCACCAGAACAACTACAGCTTAATGTAGTCAATCCATGCAGGCTTTTTGCAGTAAACGCTGTCAATTCAGAGAAAAGGTAGTGTTTACATTAAAGCCAGTTGGCCACTAGAGGTGCTTCCTGGGGCAGCACTTCCATTCAGTATCTTCACCCTCTGTATAGAGATGCTGAACTTTCCTAATAGACATGCATTGATTCAATGCATCTCTATGAGAAGAGACTGATTGGGGAGGCCAGCGTTTGGCCCCCGCCCTGCCTCCTTGACGATGTCAGCCAATCGAATGCTTTTATCATCAATTCTGAAGATGTCAGCCAAAAAGGTGGATCGGGTGCAGGTCCTGCAAAGGTGGACCCGCGCAGCGCAACTGCACAATGCTGAAAATAAGTTTTAACCCTTGCTAAGGGGGCTTCGGGTGGGCAGTTAACCTAAATGGTAACTTTTAACATGTTTAAACCCTATAGTGTCCCTTTAACCACCATTCACACTCCTATGCTATATCATACTGCTGTTTTATGCACTATAGTTCCTTCTCCCCATTGTTCTGATTTTGTTCACTAAACAGGTTTTTTCAGTTCATGTGCTGTGGCCTAAAAAGTGATCTCTATTTTACCGTTATTCGCTAATATCAGAATTTAAGTGAATCAGATTCAAAATGGCAAAATTTAGGATAGATAGTTAATTTGGAAAAATTCTCCAACTCTGCAGAGAAGCTATTTTGGCCTTTGTTTTGAAATTTATGTAAACCCCTTAATGCTGTATTTAACCATAGAACAACAGAAGAGCATCAGTTTTTCATCTAGACATCACTTCCTTAAAGGAACACTATAGTGCCAAGAAAAACTTGTTTTCCTGGCACTATAGGGTTATTAGGGCCCCCCTCCCGCTGGGCTGAAGGGGTTAAAGCCCCTTTAGCCACTTACCTTAATCCAGCACAGTGCTCCCTTGGGGCTGGTGACCTCTCCTCCCCCTGCCAACGTCAGCTCCGAATGCACATGTTCCGCCAGTGCTATGCACCCATTTAAACTGCCCATAGGAAAGCATTACTTAATGCTTTCCTATGGACGTCCAGCGTGAGTTCAATGCGATTTTCTTATTGAGAGTTGTGGAAGCGCCTCTAGTGGCTGTCAGTGAGACAGCCACTAGAGGCTGGATTAACCCTCAATGTAAACATAGCAGTTTATCTGAAACTGCTATGTTTTCAGCTGCAAGGTTAAAACTGGGTGCCTATAGTGGTCCTTTAAATTCTTTTTAAATTAAATTTAAAAAGGGATACATTTTTAATTAACGTATTACCTTTGCTGTTTCCAGTATGCTATTGTTATCATGAGTTTATATTTGCTTCTGACTTCAATTGCAAAAAAATACAAAAACCAAACAATTATGGGCTCGTAGAAAAGCGATCTAAAATTTTTGAATGAAAAGCAAATTTAAATCCAAACAAGCACATATCCAAATCAATAAATCATTTGAAAATGCTTATATTTGTATCTGTATCATGCCACAATACTGCCTATTTACAGTTTCACATGTATATTATTACAGATCCCTTTTCATACTTTTAAGGTCTGAAAACAATTTGGTTTGGCTTAATTCCTGTGAAACTTAGTTTGTCAGTCTCTGCTATAACATAATGCATTTTGCATCCCTTTCAGCCAGAGTTACGGTTGCCAGTGCAGAATAACATTTTGCGCCCCCCCCCCCCCCCCACAGCCCCCATCCTCCATCGCCCTGGTTGTATGTTTAATTCAGCACATGTAAAGACTGTAGTATTTGTTAATAAAACGCAGTAAATTTTTATGAATAAACACTTCTTAGCAATAGGAAACAGTAACTGGTGACGAATTTATGAATGTCTTTGGAAGTTATGAACATTCAAACCATAGTTCTAAGTGCCCTTCCGGGAGTCTTTACACTGCCAGAAGGCTTTAGTAAACTAAAATTAAAATGTTTCTCAAAAGTTCTAAAAATGTATTTAAAAACAAAAGACCATATTTAATGTAAACTGCAACAGCGGGTCTTATCTACCATTTTCAGGCTCAGCTAAAGTAAATATTTTGTATATTGCAACAATTATGTCAAATGTAAGAAGTCTTTAAATTAGAAAAGTAAACTTTCAGCAATTCGACAAATATAGGGCAACGGCAATCAGAATTTCAGATCGTGGGCTCATAAAAGTCAAACTGAAACCTAAATTGTGAAATTTGCTTTGAGATCTCCGTTTGTATTATTTGTACTAGTAAATTATCCTGTTTGTATTTAGATTTGTCCATGGAAAGGACAAGTTTTAAATAATAATCATTCCCACAATGTAGTGCTGCTTTCATTATTCATTGCTGCCTTCGTTACATCACCAATCCTAATGATGTACACTTTATGGAGTATAGGATAAAGGCAAACCCTACGTTACATCACCAATCCTGATGATGTACACTTTATGGAGTATAGGATAAAGGCAAACCCTACGTCATTAGATCACAGCGGGTTACCCCCTAACCCTTGGCTTACCTAACCCAATCATGAACCCCAAAGATTACATGGACTAAAGCTGACATCTACAGTATTTTAAGGGCAGGTGCACCCCTAGCCACGTAACCTTCAATGTGGATATTGGAGTTAAGAAGTACATACTGTATCGTGGATTTGAGATATGCATGCAATAACTAGGTTACATTTAACTACATGGAAGTAACATTAAAGGTATAGGTCAATCTATACCCCAAAGGTCCCATTAAGAAAGTGCTTTGGCAAAGTGCACTGTGATGGTACTATACTTATGAATGTCTTTACAAAAATGCCCTAGGTACATTTTAAATATACCCATGTGATGGTTTTTGTTTTCTTTTTAGAAGAATTACTAGGCATGTAAAGGATTAAAGAAAGTCTTTCGTTTTTACTGTGTTTGCAGTGGGAGGAACAAATGTGTTAATTATTATTTTAACTGTAGACAAGAAAAAGTTCATGGACTATTCAAAAGTTGCTCATTGATTTCGTGGTGAGAGTCATGTGATTTTCTTTTTCTAAGATGGTTTGTTTTTTTATTCTTGCGAGGTATTTAACTCTTTAAGGACCTAACAGGTCAATAGCTGGGGAAATCTGCTCAGGACTCTCATGCATTAGAAAACAGACTAACCATGCATGCATTAGTGAGCTTGCTACATTTTCATAATTAATTAGTAAAAGAATTCATAATGCGGTTAAACCATTGAGCAACAATCAGGCTGAGTATCCAGTTGTTAAAATGATGGAACAATGGCAGTTATGCATAAAGAATAATTCTGGGGAAAAGTTCTCAAAGTGGAGAGGTCCCCGTGGAAACCAATGGAATGTTCTTGCTCCAGATTTAGAACTTTGCCTAAGAATAGGTTGGTTAGGAAACGTATACCCTTAATGGAAGTGAATTAGGGATAACACACGAAAAGGACTTGGGAATTGTTATAGACAACAAACTATGCAACAATGTGCAATGTCAATCAGCAGTGGCTAAGGCAAGTAAGGTATTGTCATGCATGAAAAAGGCATTCATTCTCAGGTAAGACCACATGGAATATGCTGTGCAATTTTGGGCACCTGTTCTAAAGAAGGATATTCTGGCACTAGAAAAAGTGCAGAGGCGGGCTACAACATTAATAAAAGGAATGAAACATATCAGCTATGAAGAAAGGTTAACAAATTTAAACCTCTGTTGTTTAGAAAAACGTCGCCTGAGAGGGGATATGATAACATTATACAAATATATTTGGGCCAATACAAACCATTGTGTGAAAATCTATTCACAAACCGGACTTTGCATAGGACACGAGGTCATGCGTTTAGACTGGAAGAAAGAAGATTTCGTCAAAGGAAAGGTTCTTTTACTGTAAGAACAATCAGGATGTGGAATTCTCTGCCTGAAGAAGTGATTTTATCAGCCTCCATACAGATGTTCAAACCGCAACTAGATGCATACTTGCAAAAAACAGAATATTCAAGGATATAAATTTTCAATGTAGGGTAATAGCTTCTTGATCCAAGGATTAATCTGACTGCCATTCTGGGGTCAAGAAAGATTTATTTTCTTAGTTTGTTGCAAAATTGGAAGTGCTTCAAACTGGATCAGCCGCAAAAAAGAAATGTGAGGAAGGCTGATCTTGATGGACGCAAGTCTCTTTTCAGCTATGTAACTATGTAACCAACTAAAATAAAAAGCATTTTATTATACAGGTACAAAAAAATCACAGGTATTACACAATATCAAATCTCAGTACAGATAAGACCATACATATATAATCAATATGAAACCTGTATTCAAAACAGGAGATAAATATAATCAATCATAGATCTACAGAATGAATAGTATCAATTGAGATACAAAACAGAATGGATACCTGTATAAAACAATCCAAAATAAACATACCAAAAGAAAATAGAAATGTCAGAATGAGTGAGAGGAGGGTGAAAAAAATCAAGATAGTTCCCAACATTTTGACGTATGTGCCTTTTATCAAGGGAGCATACCAAATAAGTGGGTAGGAGGGGGAAGATTTTATATCCCAAACATAAATTAGCCATGAGTAACACCTAAGTGAAATGGGTGGCCACCCGGCAATGATTGTAGACCTCCCAACCATAATCGTTGAAGAGCCAGCAGAAACCCTTCCTGTGGGAAGCCGTCGCAGGTGACTGGCCTCCTGTGCCAGCTGTCTGCTGAATGGGCGATGCTTTTTGAGCCATCATGAGCTTCATCCACAATGGCAGGTCCATTTGGTCCCACCGTATGCCAGGATTAGCCGCATGTCGCTGGCGGAATTGCTTGTCGTATTTCCACCATGCCATGCCCCCGTACGTCCTACACGCCTCCCAGATCCAATCCAGGTAACAAACCAAAGAAGAGCAAATCCCCAGGGACCTTTTGCCAATAACACTAGCGTGGATAAAAAATGCCCGCAGCCAATTCCCAAAAGACTTGCATGTCTTGCGATACCTTTTCTTCTTCTTCTTCTTCTTCTTCACATCCTTTTTGTCCTCCTCCTTGAGGTCGATATATTCCTCCAGAAGCAACAGGGCAAAAACCTCCATGAACTCACCCTCCATATTCGGCGCATAATGTCCTGCTTAAGATGCACGCCCAGGGGGTGTGCATACGAGACATAAGCATTCTGCCGCACTGTGTCAGGAATGCCGCCCGCCAACTCCGCCTGTTCACTCACAGCGTTGACCGGCACCGCCTCCCTGTCACCCTCAGCTCCGTCTCTGCCGAGTCAATAAGATGTTGTAAAGAAGACAGTAAGCTATGTGAATGTGCAGTGGTAGACTCACCGACCAAACCTTCCACCTGCAAAGGTTTGGGGGCTGCTCCTTGAGAATCAACAGAATAGGACGGAGGAACAATCACGCTCTTTACTCCAACCAGGGGGACCCTCTGGTGCCGGAAGCCTCCATGGGGGGACTCGCTGGATGAACTAGAACAAGAAGGATTATTCCTGGGCAGATTGCACTGTTCCGTACTCACCCTCCCCGTACCACCCAGGGATCGCCATTTGAAAAGTAGTATGTAACCTGTAGAATTCAGAGGTGGTGTATATGTGTGTTGTGTGTGTGTGTGTGTGTGTGTGTGTGTGTATATATAATATATATAAATAAAACTGGGTCTTTGAAATACATTAAAAAGTTGTAGTTTTTTTGTAAGTCCAGATTGATGAATTTTAAATATGAATTGACTCAGGAATGGTGCAATGCTGGCAGCTGTGCATGCTACGTGCTGATTCTCATTCAGAAGCTGTTTGGACTGGCTTTTCTATTCTCCCATAGACAGTTTGTTTGCACGGCTGATCAGGCGTACTGGGAGATCACTGCTTTTATTGTTTGTTTAATTTATGGCAGGAAAACAAGATTGCCCCTTGACACACCTGTGTATATTTATTAATCTTTAGTAGCTCAATAATTAACAATTTGGCTTGTTCTAGATATTTTTATTTTCTATCCACTAAACACAAGTTAGAACATCCAAAACTAATGCCCACAGATTCACCCACTCACTTGCAGAATTGTCTAAACAAAAAAAAAAATCTATGACCAATTAATACTTTGTAACCCATCAATTGTGTTAGAAGAAATACGATATTTTAGTGTAGAAGGTTTATAGTTTTGATTTTTTTCTCTATACATAGATTGGAAGAAGGTATCACAGTCTGCAAAACTGGAGCTTTTCGTGATTCACAATTCATCAACAAATATTATGGTACACTGATGGTTAACACTTGTGAGCCTTAGAACCTATTATTTGGTTTAAAAAAAAAAAGCATCAGATTTTAAAGTGCCATATACCCATTTTTTTTATCCAATCCTCATTACTTACCCTCATTTCAGACAATAGATTTTTTATTTATTTTTTTTAATATCAACCTATCCTTTCGATTTCAGTTGATCGTGGTTCCCACACTCTACCATTGTGTTCTTCGTCTTCCCACTTTCATCTCTCTCTATTCTATTTATCCATATTAGTTCTGTTCTACATCATCCTTTGCACCCTATTTTCTCTTTATTAGTAAACCTCATCCTCATTCTATTCAGCATTCATCATCTTGGTTGATACTCAGCTCTTGCTGTCTCTCTTCCTCCCCCCACTCCTGATAAAGAGCCCTTTCTCAAATTGTATTCCCCCTAATTATCTCCTGCCTACTTTATCACAACTTTATTGTGACCGATCATCCTAGTTGGAACACAACATTCAGTTGGGTCTTCGTCATGATGACTACCTTGTAGATAGAGTTTTGGATAGTGACATCTTGACTACGGGTTTGTTCTTTGAAACTTATCAACTGAAGACTTGGTGCTCACTCTAGACAATATACCGATAGGCTTGTCTGTATTCTTTTGAATATATAGTCACATTATAAAGTAAATGGGAAGATCTGCATGAGAGCCCAGAGATCTTCTGGTCTGCATATTTTGTCACATCCCTCCCACAAGCTCCAGCACTATCACCGATAGTATCGTAGAGTTGTAGTGGTAACTATCTGAGAGCTGGAACCCACAGGAAGCATATACAAGGTCTGTACCAAGCGAAGGTGCAGACCAGAAGTGCACACTAGGTAACAATAACGTTGGTGATGCTGCCATCACAGGTGGGCTAGTTTGACACAAAAGTGCCACATCTCATTACTTTTCTAGTTCTGTAACATTCTTCCATTACCACCAGCCCATTCTTTGTGATCTTTAGCTCCAGGCACAAAATTATAATTATAAACTCTGTAGAACAGCTACTCATTTTGCCTGCATAATTTCTTCATATGTTTCGGCACTGACTTAGAGAAGAAAAAGTATATACAGGTGGTCCTCATTTAGCGACCTACCTGTTTTATGACGGCTCGCACATTTACGACCAGGCATAAGTTTGAGCCGTCGTGGGGATTCCCTGCTCTGGTGCGCATGTCTATGTTCAGGGAACCTTTCCCAAACATAAACAAAAGCACCAGAGCAGGGAACCCCTCTAATCTATGTTAAGGGAAATTTCCTCGATCATAGATTAGAGGGGTTCCCTGCTCTGGTGCGTTCCCGAACATAGATGTTTTCCTGAACATAGACTAACGCACCAGAACAGGGAATCCCTTCACTTACCGACCAATTCGTTCTACGACCAGGCCGTAGGAACGGAACCCGGTCGCTAAGTGAGGATATATGTATATGTGTGTGTGTGTGTTTATATATATATTAGAATTTTAAAGCCTGTAGATTTATGTAGACTGAGCACATGTAATAATCAAACGTTTATATATTATTCAAAGCTAGATTTGTTTCTATACAAAGTCATTTTATTAATTAAAGAAGCATTTAGTTGACAGAGTGGATTAAAAGGAGCTGTTGCATCATTAAAAAGCATCAACTTTTCATTTTGAAGGGTTCTGCTGGCTTGTGTCTTGTTCAAGGAAAAGGATGGGTTTTCTCTAATATTCAAAGCTGGCAAACAAGTGAAATGTAACTAGCGATACCAGCAGCCAATTAAGATCAAAGTCGAGATTTGCGGTAGTAGCTTCATCATTTTAATATTAAACATTTTTTCCTTTTACTTTGACACAGATCAAGAGGTGTTAATGTAGACTCTTTGATACAAGTCAAGTAGTGTTTTTAACGTGACAGAACTGTTATTTGTTCTTTCAAAATCAATTAGTATCATGCCCTGAATTTCTCTACTTTCCTCCAGTGTTGAATATGAAGTATCTGTTGCTTACAAATAAGTTGAAAAGAAAAGAAAAAAAAAAAACAACACTGTGTGCTTTCATGATTAGAAGATGATGTTCTGGCGAGGAAGGCAGAGAGATGCACTAGGTAACTAAGTACACATTTAGGTAGAACAAAGCTTTTAAATTTGTATTTTACTCCCACATAATCTGAACAAAGCATACATATGTGTTTGTTTGATCAGGAAGCCAGAAGATGCTTTAGTAGTAAAATAAAAAAATAAAAATTAATTTAAACTTAAAAAATAGACATATTTTGTAATCCGTAAATAGACGATGCTTTTAAGAAAGTTTACCTGGTTTGACTGTTCCTTGCTTACGCTTCACACTCTCTCTCTGTTGATCTCTGTAGTAAAACAGTTTTATTCAATTTTATATTTATTCTAGGCAAAGCTGATTAGGTTTTGGTTATGCAGCTTATTGAAGTGTGCAGGTTACTAAGCCACTGAATATGTGTGTATGATGGTGTGTCTGTAAAACTATTTTGCATTTTCCCTATATATACATATATACAAAAAGTAGGAAAATCTGCAGAATCCAGCAGGAATATACAAGTAGAAAAAGGATTTTAGAATATTTATTTTTTATTGACTGTCAGCATTTCATACTCACTAAAAATCTTTTACCAGGATGTTCGGTTTAGTGAATCTGAAATGTTGACAGACAATAAAATGTGTATTATGTATATAATGTGTATTTTCTTGGCAGATTTGTTGTATGGTGCATATGTATTTAAAAATCAAATAAAAGGGGGGGTGGAGCCAGCAACAAACTGAAGCAGACGCACATGAACTGAGCTCCGCCAACACAAGCCTGAAAAATGCAAATTTATTGCCCAAAACTCACCAATTTCGACTCATAACGTGATACCACGAGATGGGAAAGAAATCTAAGCACCAGGGAGCCGTGAAGCCAGCGGGGGCCCGCGACATCAGAGGCCTTCTCCTCTGCCCCATGAAGGCAGCGGGAAAACCCGCACCAAACTACAATGGTGGCAGGAGAACAAGCACTGGACGAGCTGGATGAGTTCCCCAGCACAGGGGGCTTACACAATGCCTCCTCAGATGAAGACAAAGAACTAACCTCTATGAAGGGAGACATCAAAGCTCTCCTCTGTAATATCCGCACACTGTTTGCAGTAGACGTGGCAGTACTGAGAGAAGAGATACATACTGTGGAAGGCCGGGTCAAAAAAACAGAGGAAGCATCACAAGGCCTCACCGCTAGATGCACGCAATTAGAGGCCCAAAATGCAGAGCTACAATGCAGCCTGGCCCTACTCGCCGCCCACATGGATGCGGTGGAGGACCGAAACAGAAGCAGGAACATAAAGATCCGAGGGGTCCCTGAGTCAATATCCCAAGACAACCTGCCACAATTCATCGGGAGGCTCCTCACCTCCTTACTCACGCCGCGGCAGGCGAAAACAATCGTAATAGATGGAATGTACCGCATCACGAGAGCGACCAAAACCCCAGCGGACATCCCAAGGGATTTTATCCTGCAACTACAGACGAGATCAGCCCAGCTGACCCTTATGGCAGCGGTAAGGGGGAGGGATACTTACCCCTTCGATAAAGCCGATCTGTCCAGACCCACTCTGATATGGAGAAGCCTCCTCAAACCCCTGACCACCGCACTCCGCCAGCACCCAATACCACACCGCTGGGCATCCCCCAGAAGCCTGATTATTACAAAAGGGGGCGCAGTAACACAGGTAACTGACCCCTCGGAAATGGACACAGTATTGACAGTGCTGGACCTGTCACTGCAACAGGAGCATGCCACCCCAGCTCAGGGACCACAGACCCCACACACATGGGACATGGCGAACATTTCACCCAGCAGGCCCCACCACCTCGTCCTCCACGGCCTACAAGGCACAATGGGCAAACCGGCAACCTACAGGCACTTGAGACCCTGAGAGGGCAACAGGCGCCCAGGCTGAAAGGACTCCCAGACATGATTGCCGTTAAGTTACCACTTCTTTACCAACTTTTAGTTATTTACTTTTTCGTTGGTTTGGCACCCAGACAGTTCTATGGTCCCCTAGCCGCGACCTCACCACGGAATCGGAGAGGGACAGGGACTAATAGCGGACCCGCATAGGCAACACACAATTGTAAACCAAGACCACAGCCTGGGACTGGAGGGAAACCCAGTATAACCCCTGGACTTAAGCTGCGATGATGAACCCCCACTTGTTCCCCGGATGTGGGAACTGGCGGACAGTAAACAGAACGCTGACCAGCAAAGACCCCACTAAGCGGAAGACTCCACAAGTCCTGATTATAATACCTGTTTCCATGTGATATTGTTATTGTTATTATTTTCCTTTATGACCACTATCTTTCACGTATAACATTCGCACTTGTACCTAGTGGGACCAAAGCTTGACAAAGGCCATATAATACCAGTACCCCGTCACCCTCATCGAATAGAAAACTCACCCCCCACCCCCAGCAAGAGCAGAGCTTTTGACCTAACATGCCAGCTAGCCACTCGAGACCCTGAGCCTCATACCGGCCCTATGCGAAACCTGAACCACCTATGCTGCATGTTTCTGCTGCTAAACAGGACCGCCCGTCTATTTATGCTCACTTACAGGCATCCCAGACTCTCTTTTTAAATGTTACCTTAAGCCTCTGTGCTCCAAACATGCTCCTAGCATAACCAGCCCCAAAAGCCTAGCCAGCATCTCACAAAAGCATTGTTCCCCCTCCTGCCCAGGTATCAAAGACGCTAACGTCAGTGCCAAAAGAGGTCAGGACAGACAAGCTACTATATACATATACCTACTCAGTTTATATACAGTTACTATGTTCAAATCTGTGGTTACGCTACTTAATTAAAAAAAAAGTTTAAGTTTAGCACTTCTTCTTATAATTTTTTATATATATGTTCCATGTAATTGTTTGTTCTTGATAATGCTCGCCACCGCTATTGTGGCATGGCAGGCATGAATGTCATCTATTGCATGAATAAAATAAAGAAAAAAAAAATCAAATAAAAATTGCTCTGTTTGTTGGGTGTACAAATTTGGAAGAGAAAAAAATTTAAGGAAAATGAGTCAAACAAATTGCATAAAACATGTAAAAGCTTTTTAGAGATACACCACTAGTGATGTCAGGTCCTAACTTGGACAAAAATTCAACCATTGTTTTTCTCAAGTGCAGCAAAAATTAGGGATGCACTGAAATTGCAATTCTGTGCTGAAACTAAAAATTCAGGATACCATTGGCCAAAAACCGATACCGAAAATGACTTTTTTTACCCACATGATTTTAAAACAATTTTTTTTCTATAATTTTATTAATACTAGCTTTTTTAATGAGTTTAATGAATCTAATATGAAAAATGTTCCTTCTCTTGTAGTGGTCCCCCTTACACCAGGGGCCTTTTCCCTCATAGTGGCCTTTTCCCTCATAGTGGTCGTATCCCCCCTCCTCTGTCCCATAGTGGTTCTATCCCCCCTCCTCTGTCCCTTAGTGGTTATATCCCTGCTCCCCTGTCCCATAGTGGTTATATCCCCACTCCCCTGCCCCATAGTGATTCTATCCTCCCTCCCCTGCTCCATAGTGGTTCTGTCCACCGTCCCTTGCCCCATAGTGGTTCTATCCCCCCTCCCTTGCCCCATAGTGGTTCTATCCCCCCTCCCCTGTCCCATAGTGGTTCCATCCCCCCTCCACTGTCCCATAGTGGTTCTATCCCACCTCCCCTGTCCCATAGTGGTTCTATCCCACCTCCCCTGTCCCATAGTGGTTCTTCCCATCTCCCCTGTCCCATAGTGGTTCTTCCCTTCTGTCCCAAGTGCAGTATTCTTGACTTTTCATGTTCTCATTACTATCTTTCATTGTGATATATAATATAATCATCTGAATTGTCAATGCAAGCATGTCTGTTAAACTATGCATTACAAAAAAATAAAATATATAAAAAATAAAATAAAATATTCGGCAACATTGACCCGTTTTCGGACAAAGTTGGATAGGCCCATTTTCGGCTGAAAATTTCAACAGCCGAAATTTTGGTGCATCCCTAGCAAAAATTTAATCCTTTCACTCATTCAACAAACAATGTATAACTATAATTACTAGATAATATCTTGTCAACATTTATATTTAACACTCTGTTACCTGTACCCTATTTTACCTGCCCTGTTGGCTTTTAGCTTGCAAGCTTGGCCTCTCAAAGCCTTCTGTATCCATTTGTTTCTGTCTGTCACACTAAATTATATTTGGGGTTTTAATCAGTCTATCTATCTATCTATCTATCTTTGGCATTTGTTGGAGTCATATAAATATTTTAATGAAATCATGTATTTTTAGAAACTTGTTTAGCAAGAACAGCTGCCAGAGTAGAAATGTGTGTTTTGATTTATATAAAAGCATAAATGTAAAACAAGTTATAAATCAAGTTATTCCAGCAATGCAGCATTTAAGAGGTTAATTTCTTGCATACCTAGGTCTCAATGACATTCCGGTGGAGTTTTGCCCATATTGTTGATTTAGTACTTGATAAATGCACACAGATTACTCAAGTGGAGGCAAAAAAAAGAAATCTGTTTCGCAATCAAAAGAATGTTTTAACAAATATTTTGCTTTACTGTGCAATGCTAGCGTCATGAGAATTTTGCACAGATTAAAAAGAAATTGTCACTTCCCAAGATTTGTTGTATTTTGCTTACACTTCCCTATATTTAATAAATATGTATTTGTGAAGTGAAAAAAACAAAATTAAATGTAGAAATATACACCTCTTTAACCCCTTAAGGACACATGACATGTGTGACATGTCATGATTCCCTTTTATTCCAGAAGTTTGGTCCTTAAGGGGTTAAATTCAACTGGTCGCCTCCATCTTGGCTCCCTGTCACTCGTTCTAAGTTCTGTCATTTGCACCTGCCAATCAGCATAGATAAAGCAAACCGAGAAGAAGAGAAATGAAACAATGTTTCTATTTCTTTTCACTTGCAGTGTTTGCCCTGGCTATGCTTTGTCTGAACTGGATTATAATGTCATTTGCTAAATCTTTAATTTACATGTTAAAGAAAGCAGAGCATTTCAGGAAAAAGGTTAACACAAGTTATAGTTGATTATAGGGTAGGCCTAGGTGTTTTATTCAGTGGTATAAATTCTAGAGAAGTGACAGTTGCCCTTTAAGGTTCTAGTAAACCCTGCCAGAAACTATTATTGCAAATTTAATGCTCTCTACCTACTGTTTTCACATATTTAAAATAGATGGTTTCTATAACAGTCATGTCTTTGTAGATGTGTGATTTATATTCAGTGTCCTTTTTGTGGCTTATATAGATTTTCATTGTGCCCTTTGTGGCTTATGGGGATGTTAGATTCTTGCATCTATTATTAGTAAAGTAGTGTGTGGTTTGCATAGGGTAAACATTTTTCTTGAAGTGGTCTAACTTAACAGTAAAAGTATTGGGATTAATAACTGAATCCATTTAAATTGGATTTCAGTCTCATTTGACTGTCCAAAGAAGAGGAATTAAAACGTTCATCATCACTGGTCATCTTCTGCCTCTTAGTAGAAGAATGAGTAGTTCGAGTTGTGCGATGCCTTTTTTTTTCTTAAAATGTTTACCTTCTGTTTGAGATACATTATTTTAATTGAGCAGCACAGTTAAAAGGCCCTTTTAAAACCTGTTTTTTTCTATATCTGATAAATACACCTTATGGGAAGTTAACTAAACTGAGACTTCACAAGTATTTAAATTACCCAAAGATCTGACTGACCCCTACTCAGGTGATATTCACATTTAATTCTCCTGGCTGAAAGGTATACATATCAGCAGGAAAATTTTCCTTTGTATATTTTTTGCCTTTCAGCATGCGCCATTTTTTCATGGATTAGTACACTTTAAAAAAAGATATAAAAAGTGCTCAGTATTAGGAAAGTTGCATTTATTACAGAGCATTTGTGAATGAAACATGTTCATAATACCATTATTATGTCCTGATGAAACAAATAGCCAGGTGGAGAGGATGGAGAAAGAGAAGCCAGGTGGAGAGGATGGAGAAAGAGAAGACAATAGTTGATAAAGTAGCAGTTATACAGTAGAAACCCAACAGACCTCATATACAGGTGCGTGGCTCTTTAGGTAGGCTGTCTGCTAATTCCAAACACATTGGTATAGAATGGGGAAGATGTATCACACAGATTACCAAGATGATTACTTTATCATTTCAACTTTCTCCACATTTTTTTTCTATGATGTTTTAGAGTCTGTGTAGTGGCGGTAATAAGATCTGCAGCTGTTGAGTATTTTATGATAAAATGTTTTATGGGCTATTTAATTATACTGGTAAACATGTGGCTTTGCTATCTATTTCTTTTGGGTCCTACAGATAGAGGCGTAAAAAGGATCTGAGCAGGTTTCTTGGCCCCTAACTTCAAATGGTGCCCTAAATCACATTCCTGTTTTTTTCTTTTGTTTTTTTTTTTTCTTCTGCAAAACAGTGTGTCTGGATTTATTCTGTATAACACTTGCTTTTGTAGAATTTCAATTCAGAATTATGTGTGTTACTTTCATAAAAAAGGCATATTGTAAAAAAAACACAGAATGAGTGGTTTAGGGACACTCCAGATACCAAAATAACTTAATCTAAATTATGTTGTTATGGGGCCAGGAGGCCCTTGCAGGCACTCTTACCTGAAGGGCATAACCCCTAAGTTTTCTCCAGCTCTCGTCTCAGCTCTCCTCACCCAACCCCCAGTGGCATCTGGCAAAATTTTTACTTACAGGAAGTACTAGTACCACTGAGCAGGGGCGCTGCTGATTGAGTGAGAGTGATCAGCTCACGCTTTCAGCCAATCGGTGACTCCCCATTCAATAAACTGGCTTGCAAAGACATGTATCAAAGCAAAGCAAATGTGGTACAAATAATTGTGTTCTAATCAATCTTATTTCTTGGGTGCATATTTGTACATAATTATTAATCCATTAAACTGCCAATTTATAAAGAAAAAAAAACTCCAAATAGTTTCACTTATTTATCATGCCTAACCTATATATAAAGTGTAATTACACTTTAAATTCACTTCATAGCTTTAATTTAAAATAAAGTTAAGTTATTACAACTGTATTAATAATACATTTTATAATAAAGTCCTGCTTTTCTCCTCTCGGCACTTCCAGCATAATTCAGAACAATGTGAAATCGTTCTGCTTTGAATACTCACTTTATCAACTTAGAAACTTTCTGGGTAATGATTAAAAATAAAGTATTGCATTGTTGGCTGTTACATTTGTAATCCGTATATTTCTGTTTGCAAACATTGTTGTTCTAGTTTTGCAAATAATAGTATATATGTAACTTAACAAACCAATATATTAATAATCTATTAATGAAGACTGTGAAAATATATATTTTTTAATACATAAGTACTGATAGGTGTTACAGGAGTGATTGCCAATAGTTCTGTAATCCAGTTCTCAGAAATTCTTTTTGAATAAGTAGAATTGAGACATGGATTTGTTTTACCGCATTTTTGATTTTTGTCCAGGAAAGATAATTGGCGTACTTAAAAATGAGCACTTTTTAGAAGGGCAAACTTGTTCCAGCCACCAAACCATTTTCCAACAGTATGACACTTACCTGGAACTTCTGGCCAACCGCAGTCCTTCTGATCAGAAGTGATATGCTAAAGCTTAAGTTAATACATTAACATGACAACTTTGGACCATAGTTATTGACTCATACCAAGGAACATTTGAAATGGACAAATTAGGGACACTTTTTTATGCGTGTTTAGTGGGGGTGTTGCCTGGGAAGGGGCTGTTCTGATAAATTTAAGGTGACATTTTAATGACAGTTTATGGCACTTAAATGTAATTTTAAACCAGAACAATGCATCCTATTTACACAGACTGATTTTTAAAAGCGGCTCTTGTAGTTTAAAGACACATTGCTGTATTATTGCTGGGGAGCTCCATTATACACTGAAATCTACTATAATACAGAGCTCCTAGAAGAGAGGATGTTGGGATAGAAAAGAGAATCAGTGGAATTTGGGCACCAAATAGAGACTGTCTTTCCTAAAAAGGGACACTTGGGGGATGTAATGACTATCAGCTGACATCTCTCAGCCAATGAATTATGTACAAAGTTGGTATTGTAATGTGTATCACTTTAGACCAGAAACATCTGAAGGCACCCTAGGTACCGTCAAACCATAAACATTCTGATAGGTTACCATGGAATGTTGTTAGAGGACTCCTGACACCACCATCGCTACAGCACAGCAGTAGTTATGTTGCTTCTGGTATAACTTTAAGATTTTCAGACTTGTATTATTATACCTCAAAATCCAGTTATCACAATACAAGTCTAAATGAAGCAAATGCATTGACCGCAGGTGGTTATGACTCCCATGCCTTATTTTAATTCTGTTCAGAGGGAAGCCGTCGTGTTTACCTTTCTTCCTTTACCAAATGTATCTTTGAGTCATGTGTTTCTATATGCTAAAAAACAGTTTACCATAATAAGATGTGATTAGCGTTGGTGCATGTGTGCCAAACAATAAGAGAATGTTTTAGGTTTAGTACAGTAATCTGCTGAAAGTGGAAAGCCCTCCACGTTTAACCCAGCAGATGCAAATGATTGATTTTGTCTTGAGAAGTAAAATCAAATCTAAATAGCATTTACGTTCTCTGCCACCACAACACTTGTCTTCTAGTTGTAGTCAGAACCACTGCCTTGTGCATTGTATCTGTATTTGATGTCTCACATTTACTCATTCAAATCTCCTGTATGCCGTAAAAAAAAAAAAAATATATATATATATATATATACTTTTAGTTAATACAATGCTAAACAAAAATCTGCACACCAGTCAAGCCATAAGACTTGCTTTTCCCACAGAAATCCCAAATCAGCAGTGATGTTACAACCGCAAAGGATTCTGGGTGGGCATATGCAAATTAGTTTAACAAAGAATCACATTTTTTGTTAAACTAATTTGCATATGCCCACCCAGAATCCTTTGCGGTTGTAACATCACTGCTGATTTGGGATTTCTGTGGGAAAAGCAAGTCTTATGGCTTGACTGGTGTGCAGATTTTTGTTTAGCATTGTATTAACTATCCACATACTTCAGGTGGAAGGGGTTTTCAATCACAATTTTTCCCCACCATAACCTATTTGGATTTTGCTTCCTATATACTTTTATATATTGTACTGATTTTTTTTTCATCACCGAACAATAATATATTTGCTAACTTGTTGCTCTGTCCATATATCATGTGATTGCAATGCACACGTGTGTTACTTAGAACATACACACAGCTTTCCATATTATCATGACGCTTGAATGTGTGTGCTCTTTATAGTGTACTTGTTAGTGAAAGGATCAATAATCAGTATCCCTGTATAAAAGCATTCTGTGAAAAGAAAATTGCACTAGTTGTTGTTAACTAGAATCTAGAGCTTAATATGGCGAGTTGATGAAGGGAAGTAAGAACGCTGGCTTCTAAAAGCTAATATGGCTTTGTCTAGTAGATATTGCCAAAATTCAATAGAATACTTTTCAAGTAAATCTAGCATTTAAAAGTTATATAACACTGAGCCTGTTCGTTTTGTCTTTGTGTCTGATTATGTATTTTGACGTTTTTACAATCACTTTTAATTATTATTTAACTTAAAAATGATTGCTACGTTTGTGTTGTAATTTGTCTCCGTATTAAAACTATTTAATAATATTCAGTCCACATTTCAATCAAGAAATGGAACAGACAAATTTGCAGCAAACAATATTTAACCTAGCAACTCGTGTAACAAGAATTGCTATTGTAGATAACTCCACCGGCAAATGACTGATAAATTAACGGTTCAAATTGACAAGTGACAAGAAGTCTGAAAACATCGTTTGTCTGCTTTCCGCTGCGAAGGTGATATCCGTGAATTTCAAATAATGTCACTACCTGCTCTAAGAACTGTGAAAATAACAGGTAGTAGCTCGAGAAAACGTGTAGTTTCACCAAAATCCCTTCTTATAACAGCGTTGAAACACACTGAGGTTCCGTTTCCCACTGTTACATGCTTTCTTTATACAGTGTGTCTGTGTTGCTAGCTTCATAGCCATTTGTATTTATTGGAGGGCATACCTCAACAGGAGGGGAGGTTCAAATATGCACATTATGTGCTATCCTCTATCGTTATTTGTAGTATCTTTTGAAGAATAAAACAAGTCATTTGTTACAATTTCACTGTGAGAATTCCAAAACTGATCACAGAAAAGTATGTATTCAGGCTTCAGCTGCCACTACAATAAAAATAAAAAAGACTTGGATTTTTAAGCTCAGTTTATTATAATTTTTTTTGTTTTTAGCTGACAATATTGCATGCAATAGGTCTGTATTTATGAGCAGTAAGTTAGAATTTATATTTAGAAAAAAAAATAGATTGTACTCTAGTACGGCTTAGGTTCCAAAAATAAAATGTAACTTTTGTTGATAATTTTTTAATAAAACTTTCAGCAGGGAATATCAGGAACATGTGTGTGTGTGTGTGTGTGTGTATATATGCTTATCAAGAAAACAACTAGTGTACATACACATATATACATGTATAAGTGCATACATATATACACATATAATACTAAGGTACTAGGTCAGATATAATAGTGAGTGTTCAATATTTTTTTGCATTAAACTGTACAGTCTGTTTTGTAGATGTGTGTTAGCATATATCTGTGTATATCAAATGACATCTTGTAGCTAATCATTCTTTTTTTGGGTTTGTGTTCAACAAAATAGGATAGATGAGTCTATTTTCACTATAATAGGACTGGAAATGTATATTTTAAAAGCATATCCAGTCCTTGTTGGCAAATCACCTGATTGCCATCTGCAGTCACATAGTCATAAATGCGAGTGAGATAATTGAAATGGCCGCGATACTGCTCCAGATCATCACCATGTCTCTACCATATATTTTTTTTAGCAAATTGTAAACTTGTAAAGATATGAATTCTGTTGTGAGCCTGCTTTGTGGTACTTCCTGACATTTGTACTTTTGCACTGAGAGAGGCAACCTTGATCTTGATTAAGTTTTTTATTTTGTTATTTTTTTTTTTTTTATAACAATTTTAACCATTATTTTACTAAAGGACCAGGCTAGGCACCATAACAACTCTCTCTCCTTAAGGGTTTAAACTGTTCTTGATTGGCTAAATCCTAAAAGGTTGCCTCCAGTACCTATCTCCAGGTCCCTCAAGTGGCATTAGACTTCTGAATATGAGTTACAGGAAGCACGGAGTGCCGACAGGCGAGGATGCCACTTATTGGCTAGAGCAGTCGACTGCTTCTATAAGCTAATTTATAAAAAAAAAATATGTATGTACCATTTAGCGGTTTAACCCCTTAAGGACCAAACTTCTGAAATAAAAGGGAATCATGACATGTCACACATGCCATGTGTCCTTAAGGGGTTGGAGTAAGAGAGCATCTTGGTGCTCCCTGGCACCATAACAAAGTGATTTAGATGCCATTGTTATGGTGACCAGAGTGTTACTTTAAGGTAATTTGCTATTGCTTTGTTTGCAAGTACATGGCTGTTTTTTTTTTACCGTGTACATTTAATTTAACACACATGAAGTTCTACTTATCTCTCTGATTGATATATTTATTTAGCCTCTTGATTGACTGCTTTACTGGCATTTTTGCTCCTCCTATCGAGAGGCAATAACAACTTACTCTAATTACATATGTCTGATCTATAAACATCTTTTGATATCTTCCTTTTCTGGGAACTAAAAAAAATGCAATGGCACCTACCAGACTGCATCTGGCTTATTAACCAATTCAGTCCTCTAAAAGTCTATAAAGAGGGCTGTAATTACCACAGCCATTCATGTCAAACAATTTGGCTGTATTTATAATCAATTTAAAGCTTAGAGACTGCCCTTCATCACCGTAGTCATTTTTAATCTAACATGTTGGAATGGAAACATTTTTATTTATATATGTTTAAGTAATTATAAGGATTTGTACATTCCTGATGTACCGCTACATGGTGTCTGTCACTCTTAATTTTCCTGACATACTTCGTAATAAATAATCTTTGAACTTGCGAAAGACCTACTGTTAGGTTGAAACGTTGTTCACTCGCCTTGGGCACCTCAAAAAATGTAAATGCTTTTTCACCTATTGATGTATGCTGGGCATTTTTCTTTTTGGATTCTACGTTATAACAAATGTCAAAATATAAAATGTCCGGATCCTGTAGATGAACTCCCAGGACTGTCCAAATGTGGGACCTGTTTCTTGGTGTCACATGTAATTTCTTAGTTATTTTTTTTGGAAATTTTAATATTACTTGTATAAACAAATCTTATTATGCATAAAAACTTCTAAAATAGCTCACTCTAGAATAAATTACAACTGTAGTTGACCTGTTGACTAACAACACCATGTGCATTCAGATCAACCCTAACTAATTTTAAGTCATTATCAGCTGCATTCTCAAGTATAAACAAAGTGGTCAAGATGAGTAAGTAGCCACGCTTATCCCAAATTCGGTGCACGTTTCAAAGAAGAATCACCTGTGCAGTACTACATTAAATGTAATTCAGGAGACATAATTGTGTTTAAAAAAAACCAAAACAAAAAAAAAACCTTAAGAGTTAAAATCTTTGTTTTAATTTCTTAACCAGGCTGGTTGATTTTGAATATTCAGGTCAGATATTGTTTGAAAGTGAGACTTTTTACAGGAATTCGCTCCTGTTAATAGCATCCTAGTTTTTTTTTTTTTTTTCATTTGTAGGTTATGCAATCCCCTTAAGGCTACAGAACGGTTGTTGATTCCACATAAGCAAATATGTGTTTCAAAGATACTTAGTAATATGGATAGGAAGCCTTTTGTAGGTTTTAAGGGAGAACATAATTGGAGAAAAATGTTTTGTGCTTCTAATTGTAATATTACATAGAATAATGTAGTTTTTGTCATTGCAAATAATGCTTTACCGTTTTAATTGTATTTCTCCTTGATACTTGCCTGCTAACTGTGTAAAACATTTGCTTCCTCTTCGCAAAAAACTGTGGCTAGATTTAATTGTATAGTGTTGGCTCTGAAGAGTTTATGCACAGGTCTTAGTCAGAGATGTAGGGGAGATATATCAAAGTGTTCTCCCCTAAACATGCTCTAAAATACTGAACGTGGAGTAATTACCATGGAAACATAAGTAGACCCTAGAAAATACAACCAATTTAATATTGATGCTGTTTTGTATACCAATGTATTTTAAAATTAAACTACACAATATTGTATTGCAGCTATGTATTACCAATTCTATCCTCCAATTTATGTCCCAAAGGAGGATACAAATGGTGATTTTAATCATCTGTCCAATCAAACCATTTGTAAAAAAAATCGTCAGTTAAATAAAAAAAAGATAAAACTGATAGTCAGGAATGTGGTAAATAAAGATGCCACAGACATTAAGCACTGTGGCATATATGTATGGTGGCAATAAGGGGTTAAGCTGTCCTGTTGGTACAGTTAGTGAAAGTTCATGACCCTGGTTAGGTTGTTGGGCAGAGTAGGACAAGTAGCTGGGCAGATTTGGTGACACAGCTGTTGCTGGGGACCAGAGCTGGCTGGGGATTGGTTGATGGACGCGAGCGAGCAAGAGAGCGGGAAGCCAGATAAGGATAAAAATGGTAGCACGAGCGCAATTCCTGTCAGCTGTCTTTCTAGACAGGAGAAGCACGGACGGACCCCAGCCCTCCCTCCCCTAATTTTCTTTATAATTAATGTTGTGGTGTGGAAAGCATGGGGGCAAAGTCATCCTCAGGTTCAGGTTCTGAAGAAGGATGTGTGTTAAATGGTTGTATTTAAAAGGCGGTCAGGTTAGCTATGACTGACTGGCAATTAAGTGATGGTGAAAGTTAAAATTTTGGAAGTAAAGTGAAAAGTTTATGTAAATATGTTACTGTTATCAAGTTATGGTGGTATGCCCCTTTTAAGCTTTAAATAAACACCACAGCCAAGCCCATTAAAATATAAATAAACTGTGTCTGTGTTTATTGTGTGGTCCAAGTTATTAATGCAAAATATTGCCTGCCATACTTATAGTGCAGCAAGTGAGTATTTGACCATTTTTGCAAAACCATAGTCTATTCAGTTTATCCAATACCTGTTAATATGTATTTTTTATGTACATAGCTCGTACACAGTGCAGATAATACCATTTCTCTTACTTGACCAGTGGGCCACGAGTTGATATTTCTCTTACTCAGCCAGTGGGCCACTAGTTGAAATAAATTCCTCGCTGACCCCTAGAGTCTCATTAGTGAGAATGCGTTTGAAAGATCTATTTTAATTGTAATTCATGTCTTGAAATAGAATTCTTTAAACTGGGGGGGAAAAAGTTTATACTATAGAAATATTGTTGCTTTTCATAATTGTTATGATGTTCACCTTCCTATCTCACCACTCGAGGGAAGCTTTCCCTTGAGAAACCTTTCCTGAGCTACTTGTCTCCGGTGGGATGTTGAAAGGTAATTGGGAGACATATTCTAACTTCTCAAACTTCTACAAAAAGAGTCCTAACCATAGATGTCAGAACTATCAGAGTTGGGCTAGGCAGTGGTGGAACTATACCGTAAGTTATGAAGTCAGAGATGCAGTTTTTTTTTCATCCATGTTTTATTTTCCCTTTTTATAAATTGTAATGTGGTTGTTTACTAATCTGAGAATTGTCATGAATTCAAAGTTCATTTTTAATTTAAGGCTAAAGTAGTCCTGTCTGCCTCACTTTATGGCTGTACACCCAGTCATTATGTAGGTGAAAGTGTCACTGAAGAGAAGGTTCAAGACACACAAATTTAATAACCAAATAAAACACTAAAAACTCGAATACAGCTTAAAAAAAACGTGTTTAGCATAGCTGATACGAAAACGTATACAAATTCTGAACAACAACAATGGACTCCAAATGATATTTCCTACCTATTACAAATACACATTTAAAGAGATGCAGGAACCTCAAATGTCTTTCCATAAATTAGTTTGAAACAACAAAGCCAAAGGATTTATGTTATTTTCATGTGACAAACTATAGTAAATTTTAGATGGAATTCACTTTAAAGTATATTAGTGTTTCAGTGTGGAGGTGGCCATTCTTGATTTGTATCACAATTTTCAAACTCTTAGTAAAAGTTACCGTTTTAAAAAAACAACAACATTTGATGTATACAGCCAACCAAATTCTGTGATTTTCAGAGGAGCTCCCAGCTTTCTTTTGTACAGAAAGAATGAAATTGCTCTTTGAACTCCTGATTATTTTCTGCTGGAAATCTTTTGATTGATTTTTGGAAAGACTGCTAAGCAGATTTAAAAATGATCAGCGCATTGTATAGACAGTTTATAAAATGCTATATGATGCTGAATAGACCATTTCTGATGTCACAGCCACTTTAATTATTTAGTGGGAATAGACTGACTTGCTCAGTTATTTTCTTAATTTTACAGAAGTATTTGGCAGTCATGGAAGTAACTTCTCTGTATAATTATGTTTGTCATTCTTATCTCCAGTATACCCCCAAAGGCTGTCATATCTCTTCCAACACTGTTTATGCCAGCCAGCAGATGCATGTTCACCAACCCATCCAAAGCACTGTCATTCACACATTTGCCCATATTATTATTATTATTATTATTATTATTAAATATCTTCTTTTTTTTTTTTTTCATTTCTACTAAGAAATAAGACAATGGCAAAAGAGTTCAGGACAGCAATACTTAAAATGTATTCTCAATATTACCTAAGGAGGTCTTAATACACATCAATTAACTGATACGATCAGTAAGATGCCCTCATTTTTCTAATTAATTCAGATTTTCTCAGCCCCCTTCAAAGTGGTGATCTTGCATTTCATTATGGAGAAAACAACATTTATTTAGCAGTTTTGCATATTTATAAGTTTATAAATACAAGCTGGGCATTTGCAACAATACTGTCACTTGGCTCTACCGTACACATTAAAAGGTACAATATTATCTATGCCTATTAATACTTTTAAGGAGAACAGTTTGTGAGATATAGGATAACAACATTCCTTTTATAGCTATTAAGGGCAGGAATGGACAAATTTGCCACAAGTCTTGAGCTGTTGGACAGCAGGAAGGATTAAAAAGGACAGGCACGAATTGGTATGCAATGGATCACCAGCCCATTTCAAATATTGGCTAGTTAGAATGGCGCCCTTGGTAAGACTACAGGATACATTGCAATACAGTTTAAGTATGTCCTCTGTGCATGTGTGTAATTGAGGGGATTGTGCATTTTGGATAATGCTGTTTGCTTGGAATATAAATTCCTGTAGCTGTAAATAGATGACCCTTGGACGCTGCTCCAATGTCTGAGGAATTCTGTCTGACAGACGTTGAGGGACTGTCTGTTAATCCTGTAAACTTGCTTCATTACAAACTTCTTTGTATCTGTTAAATTGCCTTTACATTACTGGACATCCTGGTCAATCACCTAATTAGACAGGATACCTTTTAATTTAAGACCATGAATTACTCCTGAGCTCCTGGTCAATGCTATTAGACTCTCATTTGGAATGTCAAGCCTGTACCGGTGTATAATGGATTCCTGAAAACCCTGTGTTGAGTTTCTTTAAGCACTTACTTACTTTACAGCAAGTATGTAATCCTTTTACAAAAATATTGTTTCTGTTCGTTTTAACTTTTTTAGCATTACTTTTTTACTTGCTTTCTCTAAAAATTGTGTATTTTGTCTGCATGGTGCAAAAATATGTTTCAGTGTCCATCACTTAAACAGATTCTCCGTTGTGCCAGTGGGTTTTGCAGAAATAGGATTCTGGGTAATACTAGGTGCTTTCTGATAGCCACGGTTCTCATGCAGCGCTCACATTTTGCAATATTCTATCAAATATTGTAAATCCGCATGCCCGCTGACCCACAAACGCAAACAACTTTTATTGGCATTAAAGTATTTGACAGGTTCAAAGTTCTGTTTAGTTTCTTTCGTTTTACCAAACTGTCTCTATAAACCTGTTAATAGAGTCACGTTTATATTAAAGGAGCACGTTAGTGTTAGGAATACAAAGCTGTATTCCTAGCACTATAATGCCCCTCTGTCCCTCGTGACAATTAAAGAGTTAAAAACCCTTTAAACACTCACCTTTTTCCAGAAACGAAGTCCCTTGGTGAAGATGTTGGAGGCATGCATTAGGCCTTCTCCATTGGAAAGCATTGAATAAGTGCTTTCCTGTGGGGATTTTGAAGACTCTGGACATCCTCGTGCAAAGCGTGAGGACGTCCAACATAGTTTTGACATTGAACATCATTTAAACTCTGTGAAACAGCAGGAAATGGCAATCTGGTAGACTGGCACTAGAGGCAGTCTTAACTCTGCAATCAATATAAACATTGTAGTTTCTCTAAAACTGCAGTGTTTTGCATTGCAGGGTTAAGGGGGCAGGGGTAGTGCACCCACACCACATTAATGAGATGAACTGTTGTGGGTGTCTATAGTGTCCCTTTAAGCTGTAAAGACTGGCACAAGATCATTAAAGAGCCACCTTCAATGCCACTTTTCCATGTACAATAGTGAGCTGTTCGCCCCTCTGGTCTATCAAATTTTAGTCCTACGGAATCTGTTGGCGCTATATAAATCGCAATAATAATAATAAATAATAGTCCAGGCATTTTTAAAAATAAAGTGTTATTCAACCAATAACCAAGTCATGTGTTTGTCTTTTTATCTCTGTCTGCCAATTTATGGAGGCTTATTCACACATTGGTTATTTAGATTGTAATCTCTAAATGAGCTATGAACCTTTTTTTTTTAGACATATTCCTCCTCTTATATTGCTTGCACTTTCTGTGTCATTGTTATGTCAACTATAAAGTGTTAAAAGCACCTGTTATCACTATATAAATAAATATGCATGTAGATACAACAATTAAAGGTGCTGAATGAAACTAATGCGAAATCAGAAGCTGTGGCCTATAGCTTGACATCAAGGAGGTGGGAATGGGTGTCAATGTACGCGTGGAATTCAGGCTCTGCCTTCCTGAGGCAATAATAATATTTAAAAATGTACAGCGTCGTTTTTATTTTTGTAAGGGATAAGCTGCAATAGTTATGGCAAGACATTTTCATTTTTACAAGTATACTAGTTCTATATTATTATACTAGTTTGTCACAGCATAAATTCCCCAGAAATGGCATCTTTTTATCCAAAATAGAACCGTCAATAAATAAATTTGAGAATGTTTCCGGTACGCTGTAATGATTCACAGTTTCACAGCAACACAGATACTTCTATTCAGTTCCTGACAATTCCTGGTTTACTAACAATATAAAAATGTAATTTTCTAGACCCACTTTAAAAAATGGACAAAAATCTATGCCATACACAAGTTAATGTTTTAAGTACTATCCTGTTTTTTACATTTCTCATATTGAAAGGAAAAAGTGCCAGAACGTCTGTAGATCAGAATCACCCATCATTGGCAGTGTTCAGTTTTACAATGCTAAATTACATCATCTCCATTAGATCATCGTCGTATTGTTTGGCCATTTGCAAATCATTGCCGAGAGGAAGAACCAGTTTCAACACTGGGGTTTTGGTATAAAAGAGCAATTCTGAATCGAAAAGGATAATTTAGAGAGAGCATTTCTGGGGCAAAGTTCTAAAACATGGAGTAGTTGCCATGGTAAGAAATTTATGGCTGTTGATGATTTCTCCACTTTTAAACCTTTCCATATAATTAAATGAGAGTTCTCAAAGTTCTAAAGGTTTGGCAATCGGCAAAAACATTCCATTGGTATCCATGGAGCTTGCTCTACTTACAGAATTATGCAACAGAATTGTTACCAATCGAAAAACTCACCAGAGGTTTTTTTAATTTTTTTTTTTAACAGAAACTAAATACTAACCAGCTAGCAGTCGTTGACTTCTAAGTTCTTAGCAGTTATTGAAGTACAAGTCAAACCATGCTCATCTGAGCACAATTAATTAGATTCCTTACCTATCTGGATGTTGGAATTGATCTCCGAAATACAGAAATAGTTTTTGTACTTCTCCAAGAAGAGAACATTTAATAGAAATAATAATTTTAAAAAATTGCATAACGGCTGCTGTGACTGCAACAGCTAATTTCTCTGTATATGTTTTATTCTGACGAGCAATCCATTTCCATGAGCATCTGAGCAATAAGTTACTTGGTAAATTGCAAATAATGTCTATTCTTTTGTAGGTAAAAACAGTTCTCCAAAGGAAGTGTAACCCATTTCATGCATCATGGGGCCCTGCATATTTCATGTCTACACCATGCTGGTAACAATAACGTTGACATCTGCCATCAGTTTTCCAGAAGACGACGAACCTATCAATATCGTAGACTATCATTGTAAGTTACCCAACTATGGTATTTTCAAGACACATGTAAAACATGATGGCAAATTCTATTCTTAAAGTGCCGTGCTATGCTAAAGTATCTTTAATGGTTAAAATTTACAGGTTTCCTTTTACCGCATTTACACATTTTAATTAAAACTATTTATTCCTGCATGAAGCAGGATCAATACACTACAACAAATGCAAATGGGGTTATATTTAAAGAGGTGACATTTTAAATGTGGAACAATCACCATGGAAACCAAAATAATGGCCACGTTAACTGCTCCACTTTTAAAGGGAAACTATTGTCACCAAAACAACTTTAGCTTTATGAAACCGTTTTGGTGTACAAATCATGTCCCTGCACTCTCGCTGCTAAGTTCTCTGCCATTTAGGAGTTAAATCACTTTGTTTTTGAACCCTAGTCACACCTTCCTGCATGTGACTTCCACAGCCTTCCATAAACAATTCCCGTAAAGAGCCATCTAATGTTTATCCTTCCTTTATGGCAAGTTCTGTTAAATTCAGATGTTCTTATCCCCTGCCCTGTTAATAGCCTGCTAGACCCTACAAGAGCCTCCTGTATGTGATTAAAGTTCAATTTACAGAGAAATAAATACAATTGTTTAAGGTAAATTACATCTGATTGAAAGTGAAACCAGTTTTTTTTCATGCAGCCTGTGTCAATCAGAGCCAGGGGAGGTGTGGCAAGGGCTGCATAAACAGAAACAAAGTGATTTAACTCCTAAATGGCAGTGAATTGAGCAGTGAAACCTGAGAGGCATGATCTATACACTAAAACTGCTTGGTTAAGCTAAAGTTGTTTAGGTGACTATAGTGTTCCTTTAAGCTTTGCCCCACGGCTGCCCTTTATACATTAGCCCTTCTGGAAAAATATATGCTTCAGCAATTTACTACAACTTCTTAGTTATGGGTGAGAGTTGAAATCACGTCAACTGCAAAATAGTAGCATCTGTCCCTAGTTCCTAGCTCCAAAAATATGTTGTTTTGCTTAAGTAAATGCAGTCACAGGAAATATTTTACTACAGATATTTGTTTTGACTCTTATCTATGTAGAGATGTAACGAGATTAAATTACATGTATCTCCAGTAAACTGATTTTACGTGCACAATACGATGGTGATCATTCACTGTCCACTTGGGACATGCCAGATCTACAATCATTTTTAGTTGTACTTATTTTGATTCAATTTCCTTAATATAGGATTTACCAGCTGTTTTAGAATGGCATCACCCATGAATCCTATCCTAGCCACCGGAACACTGGCAAACCAAGATAGGAGTCATTGTTCAAAAACAGCTGGAGAGCTTTTGATCACTATCCCTAGTTTAGCTTGCCAGCTGCCAATCACTACTTTTTAATATGTAATTGTTATTGGTACAAATATTCTATTACACTCCCACTGTTTGTATAATCTACTTTTAGTGTTACATGCAAGTGTGCTTTACAGCGATAAGAAAGTGGTCTTCTTAAAGACCACACATAACTTGAAAGGGTTAGCAAGTCATTTGCTGACATTGGCCATATTGTATTCATTTATATTCAAGGCATTGCAATAGGGATTTAGCCTAAACCCTTCTACACCTGGTATATACAGCTAATCAATGCTGTATATTGATTCTTTAGCTCTGTAATCCAGAGTGATGGCATATCCTATTTTAACTTGCAGATTCCAGGCAATATCCAGTATTTAGAGGACGCCCTTCAGGCAATGAATCTCAGCACAGCCTGGACTTTCAACTGATGCTAAAAATTCGAGACATACTTTATGTTGCTGGAAGGTAATTTTTTCTTTAATCTGTTTATTTGAATTGAACTCATTTTCTTGTTCTCTTTCTGGTAAGATGAACAATGCATTAAAACAACAACTTGTGGAAAGGCTTCTATGTAGGAAATGAAAACCGTGCTGCTTGTATTTTTTTATTATTTTTTTTTAGTTTTTTGGTTGGTTTGTTTGTCTTTGTCTGTGTTTGAATGCAAAGTAGTAGGCCGCTTATGTATCTGTTTTCTTGCAAATCTCAAGATTAAGTAACATAGCTCATCCACAATATCTCTACAGTAATGCATGATGATTACTGTCGCCTTGAAAAGACCTTACAGTCTTAAGAAATATGATTAAAGAATCTCAATGCAAACAGATACAGCCGCAAACCAAAGACATGCACAGTCTTTAAAGCACTAGGAAAAAAGGTTAGATTGAAAAACATAAATATATATATATATATATATATATATATATATATATATACCGAAACCTGGGAAAGTGATACTCTTACAATAAATCAGGGAACATGTAAGTCGTCGTAGTAACCTTCTTTATACAGACAAAAGAAATTCACGGCTGCAAAACTTGTGCCTTGTCTGACAAGGGCCTTGCAAATAGATTTGTCACGCTACGCATGAATACATTTAAATCCAGCATTTTTCTCCATATCCTGAAATAGCGTCTTTGTTTATCTCAAATAGAGATCAAGTTTATGCCGTAAATTTAAATGAGGTCCCGAAGACAGAAATAACGCCAAGTAGGGTAAGTCAAAGAACTTGTTTAATATTTTGTATTTAATGGTCAGTAATTCCTAAGTTTGTTGTATGCATAGCTTTGTCATTTATTGGGCTGTAGTAAAAGTCTGGAACGGCCCCATTATGCAGTGTCTTTACCCTTTTAAAATGAATAGAACTATAGACTTAAAAATTAGTCTTGAGATGGATTGTATATTTGCCGTGATATAGTTCAACATTCTTTCTCAAACTCTTGGACAAATGGATTACATATATGCAGCCAAGGTGGCCAAAAGTTAATTTCCTCTCGAGCATCATGGGTGCTGTTGTTCTGCAAAAGCTTGAGATCCCGTTTATATGATGACCGCTGCTTTTTAGACTTAAAGGATCACTATAGGGTCAGGAACACAAACATGTATTCCTGATCCTATAGTGTTAACACCACCATCAAGCCCCCCTGGGCCCCTCATGCCTCCATAAATATAGGAAAATCTTACTGTATTCAAGCCTGAAGCTGTAAATCTGCATGCTGTTTGCCTCAGAAAAACAAGTTGTCTGCTGACATCATCAGAAGTGGTAGCCTGATCCAATCACAATGCTTCCCCATAGCATTGGCTGAGACTGACAAAGAGGCAGATCAGGGGCAGAGCCAGCATGATTCAAACACAGCCCTGGCAAATCAGCATCACCTCATAGAGATGAATTGAATAAATGAATCTCTATGAGGAAAGTTCAGTGTCTGCAGGCAGAGGGAGGAGATACTGAATGTTTGGATGCATTTTAGGCAGCCATGACCCAGGAAGGATCTCTAACAGCCATCGGAGGAGTGGCCAGTGAAGTTATCACTAGGCTGTAATGTAAACACTGCATTTTCTCTGAAAAGACAGTGTTTACAGCAAAAAGCCTGAAGGTAATGATTCTACTCACCAGAACAAATTCAATAAGCTGTAGTTGGTCTGGTGACTATAGTGACCCTTTAAGTCTCTTGTAGTGATTATTGTACTTAGACTTCCCCTCTAACCACTCTAAAGTTAGTCTGCTTGTAAGAATTTTACATTCTCATTTATATGAAAAAGTTTTATACATAAAAAAAATATAGAATATTGATGTCTTTAGTCTTTAAAGATAAAAAAGAGGGGGAGAGTGGAGTCACGTGACAAAAAATAAATATATATTTTTTTTTTCATTCTGTCAGAGGTTGACATGGAGATCAGGACAAGCAGACAGAAAGAATTGTGCGATGAAAGGGAAACACAAGGTGAGGATCTACAGGCCAAGCCTCTTGCAAGCTGACTTCAAAAGATTGACTTTATAGAGACTAGCATCAAATTTCCAATGTCTTGTGTTTTTTTTTCTCTTCTCTTTAGGATGAATGCCATAACTACATCAAGGTTTTTGTTCCAAGGAACGATGAAATGGTCTTTGTCTGTGGCACAAACGCATTTAACCCAATGTGCAGATACTATAGGGTAAGCATAAAAATTTAGTTTATTATCTACATTTGTGATCCTTTTCTCCTACAGGTTATTCATGCAGTATGTATAGCATTTATTAAATGTAGATTTAATTTTACAAAACGCAAAATTTGTTATCCTTGAAAATTTAAAATTCTATCATTTCAAAGAAAAGGTATTCAAAGAAAATGGTACAAAAACATGTTCCTATTGATATTTAAATGTAATAATTATGTATTTAGCACATTTCAACATTTAAATGTCCAGGAGTAGAGCATGGTTTAATAGCCACCTTCAAGGGTTAAAGGGACATAACAGGCAGGACCATCCATGATAAAATAAACAATATTAATTATCTTATAGTGTTAAGAAGTGGAGCAATGTTAGAGCTAAAGGACAAAACCCCTTTCCCACATGCAATCAAGTGATAAAAAAATAAATTTATACTTATATTGCTTGTTGCTTAATATCCCAATTCAAGCTCAGCATATATGGGAAAAAATATATGAAAAGGATCATAGAACAGATCTGCATGGATCAGTGAATATTATTGAATTCTATAAACATTGAATTAAATCAGCTTAATTAGCTGTAAAATATTCCAAGGCTATAGCACTTTAAAGTCCAAATCTGCAGCTGCCAGACCACTCTCTGGTCACGTAGAAAATCCTCTAATCTAGAGCCACTTATTCTGATATTTGGATTTTTCTTATTCCATAAACCTCTGCGCACCCGGAATTTTAGGATATATAGTGTATCCATCACCCACAGCTCCACTACTCACACAATATATGCGGAACTGCTCAGTGAGCTGATACTTGTTGTACCATGGCTGTTATCAGCCTAGTTTGCAGTTTAGTGAAACAAATTGTGCACAGCGATTTGGCGAGCCAGTGACTGCCCTCCTCTCACGCTCTTTGCAGGCTAGGAGAGAGTTGTCCGTTGTAGTTGGACAAATTTTGGATGCAATGGAGGATGCAAACATTCCTCCTTTAATATCTGATAGCTGGAGCCAGGCTACATTTGCTACAGCAATTATATTGCAAATCACTGTAAATATAAGCCACTCTTGTAGGGTGATTGGTTGCTGGGAACTCACTGTATCATTGTAAAGGTTACGATGCAGAGTTGTTATTCTGATGAGACTGATCGTTTAATCTTTTTTTAAATGTTTTTTTTTTTTTTAGTTCCTCTGGTACACTGATATAAAGTAATGCTTTTTGTTTATCTTTGTTTTAATCAGAGAACCCCATTCCCTAACAAGCTTTGTCATATTTGAGAAAAAAAAATGAATTCCCATACTTTTTATTGACTCTAAAGTACATTTTTAACAGTCAGCTCAGTGGCACATTCACACTTAACAACAGCATTCCATGGCCTTGTCTGACAAAAAAGCCCATTATTGTTATTATATAGCATATAATAGGACATGCAGTGAAAAAAAAAAAAAGTATAACATGCCATTCTAATGATATGAATTGGATCTGATATCAAACCCTTTTTCTTTACTCTCTGAAGCTCAGCACTTTAGAATACGATGGGGAAGAAATTAGTGGCTTGGCAAGATGCCCGTTTGATGCCAGACAAACAAATGTTGCCCTCTTTGCTGGTAGGTACATTTACTTTAGTTCTGTTTTAATGTACATGACTAATTGGTTAGAATTGGCAGAAGAACATGTGTTTATTATTTTTATACTACACTATGTTAGAGCAAGCCTGTCAGACTATTACTGCCATGGAAAAAAAAATAACAGTACAGTATCGTAGTCACTAAGTAGACAACTTTTGTAGTGTATTTTGCTATCTATGAGTTTGACGACTTGACATTTTTAGTTTTTGGAATTAGTTATTTATTATTGCAAGTCTCGTGAATAAGTTCGGAAAATATCAGTTGTGTTCGAAAGTTAGTAGGCTACATGTAATTCCTACTGACCTCACGTAGCAGACAGCAGTTCCTGCATTAAAAATGAACATTTTTGGAATACTCGTTGGATTGCTTGTCTAGGGCAAGAGAACAGTTAAAAGTGAACTTGCAGCATCTGCTAACTGTGTATTATACTATTCTTATTTTCTGTGTGTGCCGCCTAGCTGAATTATGATTGACAGCGCTTTACAGGAAATATTTCTATGGTTCATAAATTGAGTTGCTTATCATACCCTAAATCACAAAAAACTTCACAATAAACCATAGGCTATATTGCAACTTGCGTAAATAATAAAGTTCCCTAAAAAAGTTTAACATGTTTCCTAGTACAATATTTGAATCTGTATATATGAATTTAAATCTTATCCGATAAATGCAGAGATTTCCTGGTGACAAATGGTTTTATACCGAGTGCATTTATTAATTTTTTTTTTTTTTTGTAAGATATCTCTGTTAGGCTTGTCTTGTATACTAGATAATGTGTATTATGCCTTATATTATTATTCCAATCTTACTATAAAGATGCTCCTAAACAGTTATCTTCTCACTTTTAAAGGGTAGTAAGTTTGTCCTTTTCATAATGAAATGTTTTGTTGATGTTTCTATGTTTAACCTTTCTAATAAAGAATTCTGTTTTCAGTGGATTTAATTGTGCTTAGACTGTGATCAATTCAGTTTTCAGATGGGTAGACTGGGATCCGTGATTGTGATTGCAGATTGTGTTGTGTTATGTAGGTTGCGATCAATGTGATTTTTCTAAGGATTGCAGAAGGCATTGGTCACCATCAGCATGAATCCTAAATGTGCACGTTATGATTCACATGCTTAGTTAAGATTAGCCTGATTTACTGGATCTGTGGTTTATGATCAACGTGATTTAAAGTTTCTAGGTCATGATCACAGTGCAGAGTGTTTTATCTGGATCTGTAGTTTATGATCATAATGATTCCTAGATGTGTAGTTTATGGTGAGTGTAATTTTGCACAGACACAGCTTATGATTAATGTAATATTGCAGATGAAAAGGCAATAAGTGTGTTTTCTCAAAAAAACTGACATGTCACCCTGGCATAAGTGCACTCCAGGTGCCTATCAATCAGTATAAATTTTGTCAAATAACAATTTTAGTCAAATTTTAGTTGACTAAAATATTTGAGATTTAGTCGACTAAAACTAAAATGGCTTTTTAGGCAAAAGTCTATGACTAAAACTAAATTGAAATTTACAGTCAAAATTAACACTGCTGTCAATCATCTAGACTAGCCCTCTTGAAGCAAACCATGCAGAGAATGCTGGTACAATGCTCTCTAAAGGGTCCTAGTGCCCTTAGTGTAGCATGAGTGAGACTAATGATGCGCTTACACTACCTTTTTTGGGGACAGTTCCCTGTTGTCCTCAAAAGCATTACACCAAGGAACAAACCCAGGAAGCTGGGATCAGACCTTAAAATCTGGACTGTTCTGCTGAAATCATTATGATTGGGATGCCTACATTTAGGTAGTGCATGTTACGGTCAGTGTGATCTCTGGCATGTGCAAGTTATGATCAGTGTGACTTGCTGGATGGATACATTTTAATCCGTATTATTTACTGGATCCATAGGTTATGATCAGTCCGATTTCCTGGATGTGCAGGTTATGATCTGTGAGGTTTCTGGGGTGTGTCGGCTATTATTAAATTGCTTTCCTCTATATGAAGGTTAGAATTGACATGATTCCCAGGCGCACAGTTTATAACAGATGTGGTATTCTTCGTGATTTTCTAACCTTACTTAATATAATGATGAGCTTGAAACCATATATGTACTCAAATAACAACTGCATTGTGCACATATCGCTAAAAGGGTTAAATGTATGCACACCACAATTGCTTGCTGGATCATTAGGAGCTCTGCTGTCTTTTTCTAGATGGGAAATTATACTCTGCTACCATGGCGGATTTCCAAGCCAGTGATGCTGTGATCTATAGAAGTATGGGGGATGGCTTCGCTCTGAGGACAATTAAGTATGACTCCAAATGGCTAAAAGGTACTTGCAAGTGAGCTTTTATTAATAATGACACAGAGATCAGACACTTACTTGATAGGAGAGCGAAGCGTAACACAATTTAATAGCATTTCTCGGAAATATGATGCATATTAAGCGTTCCAGATCCTTTTGGTATAACACCGTTGTATGACGAAGCTACTTCTTGCATGCTGATACATCAAGAGCTTTGCTTGAAATGCATATTTTTTTTTTCTTTTTACAGAATGGCTTGATTGATTCCTCAATAAAACTAAAATTTAAATGTAATGCAAGTCCTTTGAGGCCTCTTTACACACCATTAGTCAGCATTTCAGCTGCAAAAACACTTAAGCTCAAATTCCACTTAGAAAAGGTTGGACCAGCTGGAGCCTCATATCTCTTTCTGGAACACAACTCCCAATACTACAAGGACTTGTTCTTCCTTAAAGATTGCTGTTGGATTTGCAAAGGATGTGCAGCCTTCTGACTGTTAATTTGATTGCAAATCCCATTATTCTGTTTTTCTTTTGGTTTTTTAAGCAAAGTCTTCCAATAATCCTATTTAAACCAAAAACAGCACGCTGGGTTTTGTAGTTAACAGTGATTTGTGGTGAGTTGGTTTTGGACAAATCAGTGGCACTTTAATAAATTCGCCAATCATTTTTGCACTTCCATTTGTCAACTCAACACAAATTCATGTGATAAATTCTGTGCATTTTAGAAACGAAAGCTGATACATTTTCTCATCTCATTTCCTATCCAGAACCCCATTTTCTCCATGCTATAGAATACGGGAGTTACATCTACTTCTTTTTTCGTGAGATTGCTGTAGAGCACAATAACTTAGGCAAGGTAAGTGCAAAATTGGAGTTATTCCAAATTCAGGTGATTGACACAGAGCTGGCAAAGCAGGATTGGAGTGCAGGAAGACCAGAAATGTATAAAGCAGCCTAAACATGTCTCCTGATTGTTCATTTTTACTTTGTCCTGAAATTCATTGTCTTTTCACACTGCACTGCTAAAAAAGTGGTCTGGGGACCATCAGGGCCTCCCAGAATCATCAATATCTAAACATTTTCACATTCTAAACATAATTTGCTTGAAAATTACATATGCCATATTGAAAGATATTTCATAAAACACCAGATGAATAAAGTAGAATTGTCATAGTACGCGCCCCACTTTACCAAAGTACCCCAATTTCAGCCAGTCTTAACCTGATTTTATACAGGCAAAATCATTATTTTATATATAATATACTCAGTTTTGTTTCCAATTTATATGTCTTTTTCAACACGTGATGTTCCTGCATGGGTTTTAGAAAAATATGTGTTTTAGAAAAATATTTATGTGCACAGCACAAAAGGGTCATTAACGAGAACTGTAGTCTCTGTATTAAATCAATATATATTATAATTTTTGACATTTTATTATTAAATTCAATTCTTTAGAACCTCTGCATTTGCCCTTCATCCACTTTATACTTTATGTCTTTATTTTTGAAGTGAGCTATATGTGAGCCTTGCTATTATTTTGCCATATATGAGTAGGTACTTGATGCCGTTTTTTAATGTTTAAACACAAGGATACACGGCCTGAAAATGGCTGGTAAAAATTCTACACAAACCTCATTAGGAAATCTCTGTTATTTCTTGGCAAGAATTAAATGCATAAATATGTTTATACTTCAACCAAGGGTTCCATTGTGCCTCCCAAATGTTAAATATTTAAATGACACAAATGCAGTTTATGATCGTTGGACTACATTATAGACATTCTAGCGTAAATTATTAACTTTTTTATTTATTTTTTATTTTACACATGCATGGTTAATTAAAGACTTTGCAGAGGTGGGGAAGCCATGCATACGTTATAGGTTTGCCTAGCGGTGCAGTAAAATGGATATTCGGCTACAGTTAAATAGTGTATGCATACTTCTGTCACTAATGCACATAAACTGTATCTGTCTGCCACTTAAAACAAACTTTGCGTGATGTTTTATTAAAATAAATAATGTGATCTATTCAGTGTTGCTGATTTCGGGTAATCTACTTTTGGCAACAGCTCAATATTTTTTTTTTTCTTCTTTAAGGCAGTACATTCTCGTGTTGCACGCATTTGCAAAAATGATTTGGGAGGTTCCCAGAGAGTGCTTGAGAAACATTGGACTTCGTTCGTAAAGGCAAGGCTCAATTGTTCCGTCCCAGGGGATTCATTCTTTTACTTTGATGTTCTACAGTCTATCACAGACATAATAGAAATCAATGGAATTCCTACGGTGGTTGGTGTATTTACAACACAGCTTAATAGGTAAGAGATGAGCAACCTGACATCAAATAAAGTGTTTCACTTTCTTGTTTTCAGTAAAATAATTGCCATTGTAGCCCGCAATCCTAGAAAGAATTCTTTTGCTATTTTCTTCAGCATCCCGGGTTCAGCAGTGTGCGCTTTCACTATGGATGACATTGAGAAGGTATTCAGAGGAAGATTTAAAGAACAAAAGACTCCAGACTCTGTTTGGACAGCTGTACCTGAAGACAAAGTACCGAAGCCAAGGTAGAATAAAGAAAGATTGACTCTTCAGATAATAACGCAACCCACATGTCTCCTAATGGGTGTGTGCTGTTTTGAAAATGTAATGGAGCATTATACTGGGCAGTTAAGTTCTTCCAATTTGTTGTTTTAGACCGGGCTGCTGTGCACGGCATGGCTTTGGTGAAGGTTATAGGTCTTCTACTGAATTTCCAGATGAAACGCTGTCCTTCATCAAGTCCCATCCCCTGATGGATTCTGCCATTGCTTCCATCATTGAAGAACCTTGGTTCACAAAGACCCGCGTCAGGTATGATAAAAAATGACCTAGACCTGTAATTAGTTTTTAGATTCTGAGTTCTAGATAAGCCAATCCTGAAGCTGCAATGTAAATCCTTATCCTTAATCCTGAATTTTGAATATTTTCCTGTTTGCAACCTATTTAAGGTACAGACTGACTGCGGTGGCAGTGGACCATTTAGCAGGACCATATCTGAACTACACAGTCATGTTTGTGGGTTCTGAAGCTGGCGTTGTACTGAAAATTTTGGCCAAGACTACCCCTTTTTCTCTAAATGAAAGTGTTTTATTGGAAGAAATTGATGCCTACAATCGCGCAAAGTAAGTTTTCTAGCTCAACAAAGCATACTTTTTATTTATTTATTTGTTTTTGTGTGCTGGTTTCTCTTATGGCAAATGTATTAAGAGCAAGGACAGTTCTTGCATTTACCTCATTAAAATTTAGTAGGAACAAATATTTATATGCATTTAACTCTTTAAAATGTAGCCAAAACCATTACTTGAAAGTATTCTCTTTCTAAGGCATTGTGCCTTAAACATATCATTATTGTTAAAATTATACACAGGACCGTTCAGGCTTAATTAAATTAGTACACAGTGTGGCATTCTCATTGTGGAGTGGTTTCCCCTAATTATAGTGATGTAGTGATTTATTTCTTCTCGTGTATATTTAGGTGCCTCCACTTCATACCCACACATTGCCAAAATAGACACACGTGGTGAACTTTAACACTGACCATTCATAAATCTGGTGGTGTCCACACAAGGGTCAATTCTAAGCCATCTATGCACAAAGACAGATGCTAAAGTCTATTTTACTAATACATAAAAGTTGGCAGATATAGACAAAACACATTTTTATATTGGGATTAAAAAAAAAACACAGAGAGGTTGGTACAGGAATCTAAAAGTGCTCTACACATTCTTTGTGATTGAGTTGAGATCATGCAAAAAAAATATTTACAAAGCAATGTACTATAAAATACTTTTCGATTGGTGAATCCTAACATCATATTGTACTAGGGATGATGAGATTAAAATCCGTGGTATCCTGCAAGATGCATATTTATATTTAAATTGTTTGGTATAATAGTAAAAAAAAAAAAAAAAGTGATTCCCCGCTTCTATTTTGATCTTATTTTATGAGGTTATGATAAATCAGAATCTCTCCACAGTTGAGCTTCACTGCATTTCCTTTTGAATAGAACACGGCAAATCTTTCCATCATTCAGTAATAAACGCAACATAAACTGTACTGTAAAAACACCACGTGGTTCATACCACTAATTAGCTGGTAATTCCTTAGCCTCCGGAAATTTTTATTTAGCATGATCTATTACCAGGTAGCGTGTAACTAAGTGTACTACTTCAATCACAGGCACATTACTTCATCTAGAGGCAAATGAGTGTTGAAGGGATCCCAGATCAATGAAATAGCAAACATGCCACTGAGCAACTATAAATTTAAAAGGACAGAACAATAATGTTCTACAACATTCTCTGCATATAGAGATGGAGAATGTTATAGGACATAGTTATGTTTGTTGAAACTTTATCTGTTTTCATCACAAATTTGTGACTTTAAGGTTTCATTTAACTTTGTCACTTTACGGTTTTATTTAACTTCCTACACATTAGAAGAATATGCATCCAAAATTAATGTCTGCAAGTTTTTGCTTTATATCACATAGTATATTTACTTGTTTCTGGTGTAGATGTTTTGGGGACGGTGAAGATGACAGAAGGGTCTTATCCCTCCAGATGGACCGAGAACACCATGCTTTATTTGTGGCATTTTCTGGATGTATTGTGAGGCTTCCTCTTAGCCGCTGTGAACGTTATGGATCATGCAAAAAGTATGTGTAACGGATGCAATAAAAATGGTTATGATGATTTCTGAACCTCCGATGATGCTAAATTTGTAATTCTTTTCTTCTCTCAAAGGTCATGCATTGCTTCAAGAGACCCTTACTGTGCGTGGCTAAACCATGAAACATGTGGCAGAGTAAAACCCGGAATGTTGTAAGTGGTCACATATATTATTATTACTGCTAAAATGAATGTCCCATCCCTCTAGTGCCAAGGTTTCCATCTAGCTGGTAACCACCTCTTACTATACCAAGATAATAAAAATAGTACTCAAACCTCTGTTCTCAAACATACTGATGGATTAGGCTTTCTTTATATTTACATGGCTATATAGCTATGGATTTTTGAATGTTCTCAACATTTCTAATTTTGCAGTAGAATTTTGCAGTGTGTGTGTGTGTTTTGTGCTCTATTTTTAACGTGATGCTTATGAGACAGAAACATAAATTCTATTGGGAACGGTAATATGCTTTGAATCCAGTCGGGAGATAAACTATTGCTTCTCGAGAGAATCCTATTAATTATCACAGAACAATCCTCTTGTACAAACAAGCGTAAATTGGCTTTCTATGTTTACACTATATATTTTTTTTTTCATCCAGTTGGTACTTACTGCTCTGATGTTTTTTGTTTTTTTCCCATTTCCACTTGGAGGTGCACAGTTGAATTCGCTGGCTCTGCTAATATTTTATCATAAAATTAATTTTTTTTATTCTCCTTTTGCATTATTCAGCTTTGGATATGAACAAGATGTGGAGTATGGTAATACAGTACAGCTTGGAGACTGTCATGGTAAGGGTCTTCACTAAAAGCAATTTAATTTGTGCTTTAGAGAATAGAAAACACAATGTACTCATAATGCGCATACTGCTTCTATTATAACCTATTTTTTCACAGGCCAAGCTGCATTATATTTAATAAGCGTTTTTTTTTTGTTTTGTTTTTAGTTTCTTTTTACTTATTATTTGGCTGTGTAAAAATGCTTAAAGTCTTATGAAAACAAAGTAATTATCATAAGAACAAAAAAAAATCTATTTTTGCTTTCAGCTCAGATTTTATAACTTTTATTTTGCTTTCTTTCGGTTACTTTTTACTGATTATCTGTTCCTTTAATTTTAGAAAATTTGCCTCCTACAACTACACCAGATTACAAAATATTTGGCGATCCAACATCTGGTTAGTTTTATTAATTTTATTTAAAAATAATTGCCTTTTGTTTTAGTTCAGCATTTTCTGCTCTTATGCCCCCTTCTTTTTCGCAGTCGGCAAATCCCTCATTTTTGTGCTTTGACTCCATGCACCCAAAAGTAATAAGGATAGCAAGCCGTCTCGTGTTCTGTTTTTTTGTTGGTTTTTTTTTCAACTCACCTATGTCTGGCTGCATGTTACCCAATTATCCCATCATTGGTTGATAAGTAAAATCTTTTATATAAACATTTTATTATGACATTTCCGCAGCACGAAAGCCAGACAGACTTCATTCTCCCCCTGTCCATGCATTTGTCAATACCTGTTTCTCATCTATTAGTGATAGATGACAATTCCTTTAAAAAAAAAAAAAAAATCATACTACATCTTTATTTACTTTTACCCATTTATTGCAGAGCTTTAAACGTGTCTGTGTGTGTTTGGTCTAAGTTAAATTTTCAGTTTAACAGCCATTAAATCATAGAGATTAAGGGTTTTAAACATAATCAAGCGCACACAAATACTAATGATGGTTCATGTTTAGTGGTTTGTTTTAAAGTGCAATTTTATTTATTTATTAAATATAATATATATCAAATAAATTCAACTTAATAAATATGTGTTTACTACCACAGACATGGAAGTACCCTCCACCCTTGTTACCACAGTGGCAAGTAGCCCAGTCATTTTGCCTAAAGTGATTAGTTCTTGGAAACCTAGAATGACTGGCTCAAGGAAATATGTTTTTCAAGATGACCCAAACATCTCTGATTATGTTGATCCATTAACAGGTGTCCCAAAGGGTAAGGCCTTAAAAAGAGAGAAAATTTTACTGAGTGGATACCTGAAGCTCATTTCAACCCACATGATGCAATATATGACTCCTTATTAGCCAATAGCCTGGCCTTATATATTTACATCATTATTTCGCAGCTCTGTTGAGGTCACTTGGTCAAAGTGACTGCTTTAAGACTAACTTCAATCAGTTACTGAACTCCTCAAGGACCAATTACTCCTTTTGTTTTCATCACAATTTGGTCTCCCAAGACTTAATGCCAGCATGGAATTTCCTACCAACTAAACACTAGCAGTTCTATTATAATTATTATTATTTATAAAGTGACAGCAAACTCTACATTGCTGTACAACAGATAAAAAGCATTGCTGTCATTATATGAATAGTATTGTGGAATAGGATCTCGACCATTACTTTGTTATGACTGTGTAGACCACCATTGTTTCTCGAGGAGTTAAAAATGTCTTTAAACAGAAGAGGCCTCTATTAGCTTTTAATGGCGCAGTCATATAAAAATGAAATTGCATTCTATCAGGTTTCCACTCAGATACGGCAGTGTATTTATTTATTGTATTTCCATTTTTCTGTTAAATGCATGCGTTTCTGTTGGGTTTTGTCTCTCCATTGCTTTTATTTTATTGTTTGTTTTAAATATTTTTTTATTTATTTATTCTATATGATCCAGCAGTTACTGCTACATTTCCAATTATTGTGTCCCATATTGGAAGGGTCATCCGTTTGCCATAGCTGGTCATTTTTCAAGAGCTAAAGAAATTAGATTATAGATTTTATATAGTATTAGATTATAGGAAGTTTACAAACTGTTACAGTGGATTTATTTTACAAGTTACTACTTGTATATAGAATTAGCTTATTTTTTCAAGCCTACCTAGGAAGCTTTTAAATAAAGTAAATGCTCTGCAACCACGAGATTAAATTACAATAGGTAAAATACTTCCTAATATCAAGCACACATAGCACTTTAAATACTTTTACACTAATGGCTGTTTAAGCATTATATGAACCAAAGGTTCATTATATGAATCAAAGGTGACATGCAGAGAGTTGTATAAAATGATGTCAAAGTAGGCAACTCCTAGTACAATAATTAGTGGTATGGAATCGGCAAGGACTGGTAGGCAGGTTAGAAATGGGCATCCACTGTGGTTAGGCCCCCAATGCAGGCGCATTACAACTTTCCATATATGTCTGCAGACAGGCCCTTTGGCCGTCCCCACTCAGGGCAGATCATGAGAAGATTGCTCCTACGGCAGGCACACTGGTTAGGGACATTTATCTGGTGTCTCATATCCTGCACAGTGAGAACGAACCAGGAATTTGTGATGGTCCTCCCAAACCTAGGACAACTAGGAGCTAGGCTGCCCATCCAATTAATTAATTGATTAATTTAATAATTCATGTTTTTTGTTGTTGAAAGAATTAGTGATTTTTACACATACATGACGTTGTTATTGGGGAATATTATTTTTGCATGGTTTGTTTGCATCTCAATATTTTGTCTTTATTTTCTATCATTTTAACTACTCCCCTCCTATGTTATCCTGTTATACTTTATTGACCAGTTTCATCTTCTGTTTTCGCTTGCATTTTTGTACTGTGCTATATGGTTTTTGTTTGGTTTTTGGGTTTTTGTGTGTTTCCCTTGCACACTGCCAATAAAACTGACGTCTCAAAGTTTCTCTCTCTAAATGTTCAAAGGCCTTGCCATTAACTGAAACTAGAAACCTATATCATTTTAACAACTACTAATTATTACTTTAGAAATGTTTTCAATCTGGAGGTTTGAATATTAAGTGCAAACCAATTCTTGATCTAACTCTGCTTTTTCCCTATGCATAAAATATTTTAACTCTTCTTGTGTCTGTGGCTGCTAACTCTTCTAATGCGGGATTTGGGTGAACACTAATCCAGAATTCTCCTTCTAGGTCAAATCTAGAATGTGTGTTTTGTGATGTATGTAAATTTCTTGTACCTTTTAATGTGTTGTAGCTAATATAAAAGCTTGAACCTGCCACCAGTAGTTAATTAAAATGTCCTATGCAGTAAACATAGTCATGAGCTTAACTATCCTAAAATATATTGACACTCTATCTCTTAAATTCCTATAACTTCAGTATGTGATAAAATACAGGGAGCCTCGTACACAAATATTCGTGTTGTACTAGTCTGACAATATTGTCAGTGTAATTCTGCTGTTGGTGATGCTTTTTTTTTTTTTTATACAATATATAAATATCTCTATTATATATACACTTACTTACGTGTAAGTCTTTGGATGCATATGCTGTGTTGATATGATATGCACAGCACAATATACATCCTCTTGTGACCTGCACACTGGTCCCAAAACAGCACCGTTTTGAAACTGCTAAAAGATAAACTATAATGATTTACTGTATTGTACCGGTAGGTGTTAGAGGTGTACAGTTCACAGCTATCAAACTGTGTACACTGCTGTGCAGCCTTTTTCTTTAAAGGGACAGCCAATTCAAATTTGAAAATGTACTCAAATTAGACTCCTAGTTACTTATAGTATTTCTAAACTAAACTGCTATGTAGTCCATGGTGCCTCACTCACTGTGATCTCATCATCAAGGTTTATCTGACAGTCAATGATCAGGTACCACTTTGGTTTAGTGCTAATCTCATATTTTAAACACAGCACAAAGAGCTTGTGTCTGTTAACACACTTGACATGACAAGACAAAACTTAAAGGTTAGAGCTGGTGGCATTTTTATTAAAAGCAAGTTGTGATGTGCATCAATTAACGGAATACAATGGGTTTTATACCCCTTTATGGAAGGCTACATGCTGGTATATTATACTCTAAGCATCATGTAGGTTAGTATAACAGATGTGGGTACTATGAGTACTTATGTTTATGTGTTTGTCCTTTTTAAATGTAGTACTTTTGGTGTGCATCCCCTTGCATGTACTATAAATAGATGTTGGACATACATTGCAAATAAGCATATACATTGTAACTAGACTATATGTAACACTATTTAGCCTAGACTTGTACACGCCTAATAGGCAAATGCAGTCTGTCAGCAAGCATTGTTATTAAACAAATATCACAATTAAAACTCAATTTTATCTCAAAAATGATTTCTAAATAGGATGGTCTTATTGGTTACACTAAAATTTTAAGGAATTAGATGAACAGCTGCATGTGTATAGTTACCGCACAAGTGTAAAGAAAGGTTATATAATCACACATTTTAGTAGAAATATTATACTAAAATAATTAAGGTCTTCTCTATACTCAACACTTGTGTTAGAAGCCAAAACAATTATCGTACATATTTTTTCAAGCACTACTCAGTAAACCACTATATTCCATACAAAAAAAGTTCACGCCATATATGTTGTATCTGTTACATTCTTTCAATTTCATTCTTTACCCATTCCAAGATATTTCTTTGTGTTAATTAACAGCATGTTAGAAAGCAGACAGAGAATTGACTGCAACATATTCTATACAAAAGAACAAAGATTAATGTGTCAATGTGCTAAAGAGTAATAATGTGTGCATATTTGCCCTAAAATATTGCCATGTGTTTTTACAGGTGTAAGATGGGAAGTGCAGTCGGGAGAATGGAACCAAATGGTCCATATGAATGTTTTGATCACCTGTGTCTTAGCCGCATTTGTGCTCGGAGCTTTTATTGCAGGAGTTGTTGTCTACTGCTACCGGGAGATGTTCGTACGGAAATCAAGAAAGATCCATAAAGATGCAGAGTCTGCACAATCCTGTACTGACTCAAGTGGAAGTTTTGCTAAACTGAATGGATTATTCGACAGTCCTGTTAAAGAATATCAGCAAAGCATTGATTCACCTAAACACTACACAAATATATTGACTAGCAGAAAAGAATTGCCGCCAAATGGTGAAACAAAGTCTATAATGATGGATAGTCAAGGGCAGCCACCTGAACTAGCTGCACTTCCAACTCCAGAATCAACACCAGTGCTTCAACAAAAAGGCTTGCAGCCAATCAAAAACCAATGGGAAAAGACACACAATAATTTAAACATTTCACGAAAAGAAACACCTCTTAAAAGTCCTCAGTTTTTTCCTTCCAGCCCTCCTCCTCACTCGCCTTTAGCACATGGACAAATTCCAAGTGCGGTTGTTCTTCCAAATGCTACCCATGATTATAATACATCATTTTCAAATTCAAATGCACACAAATCAGACAAAAAACTCCATAATATTGAACATTCTTTGGTAAAACCATCAGGTAAGAGAGACCACAGACGTTCAGTGGACTCCAGGAATACACTGAATGATTTTTTGAAACATCTTAACGACTCTTCTGGAAGTTCTAAAGCTATTATGGCAGATATTCAGGTGGCTCATCAGAATAGTCACCAGGCAGCACATCAAACTTTAATGCTTGATACTATGGGAAACATGTCTGAAATTCCACCTAAAGTTCCAAATAGGGAAGCTTCCTTATATTCTCCCTCTTCTACGCTTCCAAGAAATAGTCCCACAAAACGAGTGGACGTACCTTCAACCCCAAATGGGCAAATGACACCCTCTTTGGAGACACAAAGAGGTTATCACAAAAACTCTTCACAGAGACATTCTATATCAGCTCTACCTAAAAATATGAACTCACCAAATGGTGTTTTGATTTCTAGGCAACCTAGTATTAACCGAGGAGGTTATATGCCTCCCAGTCCTAGTCCAAGAATGGACTATATGCAAGCAACACCTGTCATTGTTCATCAACAGACTTCCTTATCAAGGCAAAGCAGTTATACAGGACATGGAACCCTTCCTCGTACAGGAATTAAGAGGACACCGTCAATAAAACCAGATGTGCCACCAAAACCTTCATTTGCTCCACAGAATACATCTGTTAGACAGCTAAACAAATATAGCTACTAAGACATTTTTCTTGAACCATACATGGTTGTAGCACATGGTGTTGCTAAGGAACTCTCCAGGCAGAGACACGTTTTGCCTAATCAGTCCCAAACTGAGTGGCCAAAAATGCTGCCTTTAGTTTGGCAACATCATTGTCTTGCCAGACATAGGAGTTGCAAGATATTTTTGCAACGAACAAAACAAAGGAAAGTGCTGGTCATTTTATTTCTTTTGTTTGGAGCTAAGTGGAAGTGTAGCACTGTGTTGGCTACTTCACAGTTACAAAAATCTGAAACAGTACTACAAATTAAGATATACTTGAAAAATGGGCTTAATGTTAAACTGCCGCTGTGTGTAGCCATCCCATTAAATGTGAACGTCTAATATGTATGCATTCACCTTGCCTCTTGCACAAATGTCAGAAAATGATCCCAATCAATCATTTTCAGGTAGTTTTTCCTTCTACTTTCTCAAGCCTAAACATAACCATGAGTCAAATATGGCAACTGTGCATATATCACCAATAAATTCAACCTATATGTATTTTGTTTGTGTGAAGAATATATGTCCCCTACACATGAACATGCACGTAATGATTCTCATTGCAATTTCTAAGCTGTGGAATGGTTTATATTGAGCATGGCTGAACAAAATGGAAGAAAGTGACCTTCCAATAAGCCTCTGCTGGGGATATAGCTATGAGAAACAGAGATGTGCCTCTTTCCTGCCTTCCAGATGATTTAACTTGGCTGAGCAAGGTACTTCGTACAAGAATGTTAAAGATTCTTAGAATTGTTATGCTGCTATTTAACCAATATTGTATATTTCACTGGAAATACTACTCGGACTCTTCGTTGAAGGCTGTACCTTTCTAGAATTGGAATTACCATTTGGCTCATTCTAGATCGCCATTGGTAATTCAATACCGATACAATTACCTATTGCCAGATGCAGCCCCCATTTGCTAATGCACTGAAAATGTAACATAGTACTTTCTAAAATTATTGAAAGTTTGTGTCCTGTTCACTAGAAGAGCCCTTCAACATGGTGGATACCACTGTGGTACTTAAAAATGTTTGTTCCCCCTACTCCCTTCTATAAAGGTCAGGCTGGCCCAACTATAGGGTAGTTAGCTCTACAGTAGTGCAATGAATATATGTTTGTTTCATGTGTGAGTGTCCGCCAAGGTCATGCAGGTAATGACAAAAACATGTAAATATGTGTGAGGGTACCTGAATCTGTGCATCTTGTGCCTTATTCATGAATAAATTTACTATAGTCTGTCAAGTATCTTCAGTATAACATGCCATATTATCCGAGAATCAGAAAGGAACATTTATAATAAGCCCCTTCTATCCCTGAATATAAAGAAAGACAATGTTTGCTATTTAGATTACAGTAAGCCATTATTTATCTAGGGCGGCATTCCGCTCTAGAACAACGAGGAATCAAAATCTTTTTAAAATAAAACAAAGATTTCTAGGCTAATTCACCACCTGCTAAAACTATGTAATGTTAGACAGTTTCAAGTACCTACTTGTGACTTGTGTTCAACACAGATGGCTATTTTAGTTGAAAAAAAATCACATAAGCATATTGTTTATTGAGTATAATTTAGAGCAGCGGTTGAAATTGCCTTAGTACAACAAAATAGAGAAAAAAAACTCCCAAATTAAAATGGGTTTTAGGAAAATGGAAACCAAATTAGTTTACTTGTTTTTGTATAAAGTCTTTTAAAAAAGAAGATATACATTTCATTTTATTTTTTTAAGTTTTTATTTTTTTTTTAATGGCCAAAGTTGAGAACGTTAATCTTAGATATGGGGGCAATATTTTAATGGAGTTAATACGAGTTATGCAATTTCTATCAACTTTGTCATCCATTTGAAAATGTAAATGCAGATATGACTTCATGTTTAAGATAGAGGTATGAGCACCAGAGCTTGTACAAGCCAAACCACGAATTCCGTTAACATGGATAACATTGTACTGCCTTGTAGATCGTAATGTGAGTTCTATCAGTATTTATGTTGATGTTTCTAACATTCAATCTAGGCTAAGAAATACATTTAATAATAAAAAAAGTGCTTTATCCATTTGTGTGAAGGTAAAAGCAGATTGTATCTTTTTTATATTGTTCCAACATAGAGATGTAACCATGGGATTAAGTTGCTCTATTTTGTTCAGTAGAGTACTTTACCGTGTAGATATCTTGTAAAGCTGTATTGTGAATGTGTAAATAATTCTGTACTTTTGGGTTTTTAACACCGCATGTAAAGGTTAAAATAAAAATCAAGTGAAAAAATAAGTTGTATATTTCTTTGCATCAAAATATTCAGTCGGTGGTTACTTGTGTATACTAATTTCTCTGGTGTAGGAACATAAAATACTGTATCAATTTTGCAACAAATCCCAGAAATACTGTGAATAATTAAGACCTATTCCATACTTGCCCATCTTTATTTTTGGAAATACTATAAAAAAAATATATAGTTCGTGCCGACTATTCCTTGTATTCCATCTCTCAAATAATGAAATGTTTGTAAAGCATCCAATTTGAACAAGGCAAACATTGGCTTTCCATTACATTCCTAGGTGGGTGATTTTCTTTCATTTTTTTTAATAAGATCCTCTGGTCACAGAGCAATGAGAAGCATCATTATTCATTTTGTTTCAATTTGTGCTTCTAAAAATAGAAAATGTGATTACGGGTAGAAATCTAGTATAAAGTGAGTTTCTTAAATGTTATGACCTGCCATAAAACATTTGAGATGGTTTTAAGATTTTTGAGTAATATCAGTATGTCCCATTTTTTTTATAACTCTATTTTTCATATTAGGAAATAAAAATAGATATTCCTTATTGATGTCGTTGTTTACAATGTAATTCATTTATTATTATTAATTTCATTATCCTGTCATCGTCTTTCAAAAAGGCACTCTCACAGCATTTAATGGAAATAAAATTACATTTCCCATAATGTACGTAAGGATCATATCTACTGAAGTTAGGACTTTATGTGAAAAACTAACTATCCAAGCTTTGATAGTCTTTGCTGATGTCAATGGGATGGGATTTTCTCCTAGAGTTGACAAAACTTTGAAGAACAAGATAAATGCGTTGGTGCAATGAGGGGAAATATGAAAGCTAAACATTCAAAATGGTGTCTATTGTCTGTTTAAAACTGCGCATATAGGCTGATTTGTATACATCTGGTTAGTATTGACAAAACCATATAGCATTAAGGGATACTAAAAACATGCACACCTCAAATAAGTGGTTTTCGTGCATTGTTCCTGCCGTTTTAACACTGCAATCTAAAACATTGCCGTTTTGTAGAAAAGCTAATTTTGTCATTACAGGGTTAATACACCTCTATTGGCTGTCTAACACTAAAATGTATTCCAAATACAATAGTGTTCAGTGGGTTAAATACAATTCATAACAAAATATATAAATGTAATAGGTTCTTTAATAAAAGTTTTAAATATTACATTTTAACTGAACAGAATTGAAATAGCAAGTTTAACATTTAAAGGGACACTATAGTCACCAGAACAACTACAGCTTAATGTAGTTGTTCTGGTGAGTATATTCATTCCCTTCAGGCATTTTCATGTAAACATGGATTTTCAGAGAAAAGGCAGTGTTTCCATTGCTTCCTGGGGCAGTGCTGTACAGTGTGCAGCTCTGCCATTCAGCATCTCCACACTCTGCATGGAGACACTGTATTTTTATTATAGAGATGCGTGGATTCAATGCATCTCTGTGAGGAGGTGCTGATTGGTCAGCCAGTGTTTGGCCCTGGCCCCGTCCCTATGGGAAAGCATTGGATTGGCTAAAATAATAAATTATGATGATGTCAGCAAGGAGGCAGATTGGGGGCGGGTCTGCGCCAGCAAACAAACTAAATAAATCAAAGAAGTTAGACATATGCATCCAATTCCAACCTGTATTGTCATCAGCAATTGGCAAACCTAAAAAGTAGACCACAATCTCATTACGATAAGTGTATTATTTTTATAGTGCAATGCAAAATGACGACTTTTTGACCTAAATGTAAATTTGAGGAAGAACAATGTTTAGGTCATAACCTTGACATTTTGTGCTACGTCACATTAAAGGGACACTATAGTCACCCAGACCACTTCAGCTCAATGAAGTGGTCTGGGTGCCAGGTCCCTCAGGTTTTAACCCTTCACATGTAAACATAGCAGTTTCAGAGAAACTGCTATGTTTACATTAGGGGTTAAGCATCAAATTTCGCATCCATCGTGCACAGCGTCCATAGGAAAGCATTGAGAAATTGTTTTCCTGACACTATAGTGATCCTTTAAAGAGATCATCTATATTCTAAAATAACTGTGCAGATTATTTTGAATGTGAGACTTCCATCCTATTCCAATTGCATTTGCAATTAATTTATAAATGAAACGTTCTCCAGTATAAACAAAATGGTAGTCTGTTTAACAATAAAACCTATAGATTTGTTTTATTCATTAAGTGTTCTTGCATAGCAAGACCACTTATTGTTATCTCACATATATATTATTAAGTGTTCTTGCATAGCAAGACCACTTAATGTTATCTCACATATATATTATTATTCTTATTATAGCCAAATTTGCCACCCTAACTCCTCCCACAGTTTTTACACTACATAGACAAAAATTTACCAAAACGTGCAGATTGTTCCCGATCGGATTGCTATTACTTTGTGGAACGTTTCGCCGAATGGTTCACGGAATATCGTCGTTCTTGTGGCGAAATTTGTCCCATAGGAATGAATGGCAAAGCTAGAGTGGGAGCTGGCAAAAGCTGAAAAATCAGGACATGATTTCTAAACTGCCACCACTCCCTTATTTTCAGGCCCACCTACACAAATCTTATATCAAAACGTTCAGCTATCCCTGCTGCCACTAAACATGTCAACGGCTAAGCCATAGTCCTGATAGTTTTCACAATATAATCATTTGTTTGCAACTAACGCCGTCCATTGACATTCATTGAAACTTCACTCTACAAAGCTCAAATTTGAAGTGCAATTTCTAAACTGCGACTGTGCCTTCAATTTTAATACTTCAGAGACATACTATGCATCAAAATGTAGGTCTGGGTCTTGTGATTCTCACAATATAAAGCTCTTCACTGTAGGAGTTATAGTTTTTAAGATACGACCGTTTGAAGATGGCAACCGCCAAAATACTCTGACCTGTGTCAAGCTGCAGCAGCAAGTGATGTCATAGACAGGGCCTTTTGAACACCTGCTAATGTTTTTATAAATGTATGGTTTAATGTAACTGTGCAACAACGTTGCAATTAAATGTGCTATATAAATGATAACAGTTACTCCGCCCACTCCAGTTGTAGACTACTGGTGGAGGCAAGAACACTTCACACAATTTCCCCAGAAATTGTAGCTTTTCTAGTTCTTATTCTTATTCTTATTATAGCAAAATTTGCCACCCTAACTCCTCCCACAGTTTTTACACTACACAGACCAAAAATTTACCAAAACGTGCAGATTGTTCCCGATCGGATTGCTATTACTTTGTGGAACGTTTCGCCGAATGGTTCACGGAATATCGTCGTTCTTGTGGCGCAATTTGTCCCATAGGAATGAATGGCAAAGCTAGAGTGGGAGCTGGCAAAAGCTGAAAAATCAGGACATGATTTCTAAACTGCCACCACTCCCTTATTTTCAGGCCCACCTACACAAATCTTATATCAAAACATTCAGCTATCCCTGCTGCCACTAAACATGTCAACGGCTAAGCCATAGTCCTGATAGTTTTCACAATATAATCATTTGTTTGCAACTAACACCATCCATTGACATTCATTGAAACTTCACTCTACAAACCTCAAATTTGAAGTGCAATTTCTAAACTGCGACTGTGCCTTCAATTTTAATACTTCAGAGACATACTATGCATCAAAATGTAGGTCTGGGTCTCGTGATTCTCACAATATAAAGCTCTTGGCTGTAGGATTTATAGTTTTTAAAATACGACCGTTTGAAGATGGCAACCGCCAAAATACTCTGACCTGTGTCAGGCTGCAGCAGCAAGTGATGTCATAGACAGGGCCTTTTGAACACCTGCTAATGTTTTTATAAATGTATGGTTTAATGTAACTGTGCAACAACGTTGCAATTAAATGTGCTATATAAATGATAAGTTACTCCGCCCACTCCAGTTGTAGACTACTGGTGGAGGCAAGAACACTTCACACAATTTCCCCAGAAATTTTAGCTTTTCTAGTTCTTATTCTTATTATAGCCAAATTTGCCACCCTAACTCCTCCCACAATTTTTACACTACATAGACAAAAATTTACCAAAACGTGCAGATTGTTCCCGATCGGATTGCTATTACTTTGTGGAACGTTTCGCCGAATGGTTCACGGAATATCGTCGTTCTTGTGGCGAAATTTGTCCCATAGGAATGAATGGCAAAGCTAGAGTGGGAGCTGGCAAAAGCTGAAAAATCAGGACATGATTTCTAAACTGCCACCACTCCCTTATTTTCATGCCCACCTACACAAATCTTATATCAAAACATTCAGCTATCCCTGCTGCCACTAAACATGTCAACGGCTAAGCCATAGTCCTGATAGTTTTCACAATATAATCATTTGTTTGCAACTAACACCATCCATTGACATTCATTGAAACTTCACTCTACAAACCTCAAATTTGAAGTGCAATTTCTAAACTGCGACTGTGCCTTCAATTTTAATACTTCAGAGACATACTATGCATCAAAATGTAGGTCTGTGTCTTGTGATTCTCACACTATAAAGCTCTTCGCTGCAGCAGCAAGTGATGTCATAGACAGGGCCTTTTGAACACCTGCTAATGTTTTTATAAATGTATGGTTTAATGTAACTGTGCAACAACGTTGCAATTAAATGTGCTATATAAAAGATAACAGTTACTCCGCCCACTCCAGTTGTAGACTACTGGGGGAGGCAAGAACACTTCACACAATTTCCCCAGAAATTGTAGCTTTTCTAGTTTTTTTTAATGCTGCATTGGTTTTATTTTTTGTTATTCCTGAACTGCAGTCTCTATACTGAATTGCTATTTATCCTATAGTTATTACTTAGTTTTGCATCTCCAATAAATATTATACTGTGCCTTTTTTCTTAACAATAACAATTTAAATAAGAGTGCTAGCTTATCGCGACCAAATTATAAAAAAGAAAGTTTCAGCAAAAATCTATAGCAAAGCACAATTCTATTATATAAACTGACAAGCCACAACATTAAAATCACCTGCCTAATATCATGTAGCTCTGATACGT